AAACTGAAAATTCGAGTTAAAATAAATTACAAATAATGCATTTAACAATCCTTAATATCTTCCCGTCTGTGTATATCAGTTGAATATGACAAGGGGAATTGTGAAAGAGTCTAGAAATACGGTGCGACAACGAGAGCGCAGGGCCGAAAAGCGCGACAAAGAAGAAAACGGGTAGGGTTTGAAATGTCTACTTTCTGGTGATTCTAATCCAGTATATCGTGACACAACCTTTTTGAATATAGAATTGTATTGAAGCGCACATTAATCTAATCAAAACTTGAAGTTTTTAAGAAGATTCCACGAATATTAAAACTTGCAATTACTTGGAGGAGCATTGCGCATATTCATCGCGTAAATCTTTGCATTTTGTCGATAAAATGAACAATTACAATGTTACGCCGTGATGTACAGTATCTGACGTCGTATCAATATAGATTATCTTAGTGTGTTCTCTCATAGGCTACCTTCAATCAATAGTGTAATCTAAGAATTCCATTCATAAATTCATTCTTGATCAGCTGACTGATGAATTTATAAAGCCTGAATGAAGTTCTTTCTGTCAGTATTTCTCAAAAGATCTACTGCTGGGGGTGTTCTACTGAAAATGTAAAAGTCATGGAATTTGACTTTCTCAACCTTGAACACATACCCTAGGGTCCAAGAATATATGAGGTGCTTTTCTGAAAAGTGGTCAGCGAATTTTTAATTAGCTATTAAAGTGGCTTTTTGAATGATTAACCCTTTGATTCCCAAAGGTTGGTCAAAAAGTAGGGTTATACTACATATTTTTTACATAGTTTGGGTAAAATAAAGGATTTTGATTCTCTTACTTAGTTCTATTTTAAACAAGGTTTAATATTCAACAGAGTGCGATGGTATTTGTTTCTCCAAAATTCAAGGATATTTTAAAAAAAATATCAAAAATCTATTGGAATTTTTTTAGTATTTCAATATATTTCATAAGTACATGACATGAGTTTGTTTAAAGTTATTTAAAAATATATAATATATTTGTAACATCACATATCATTGCTAGATAATAATATAATCATTGCTAAATAATGTTTTTTTATTTTTCAATTCTCCCTTTCGCGGTTCGCTCTTTGAATCAGAACGTTCGCAAATATGTTCTGAAAAAGCACTCAAAAAGGACAAAATTTGATTGGTCAATATTTTCCCACTATGCATTTCGCGTAGCTATTTGCGTGACCCGAAAGTTCTAAATCAAACTAATTACGCAATTTTGTTTTTACACCCGCACGCTAAATAAAACAATGACACCATCGGAAATATTCTTCTTTGTCATTGCTTTAATAGTCAGTATACCGAGTTTGATCAATAAAAGATTGTACAATGAACAACAAAATTCGGAAACGAGTACTATAGATTTGCTTTCGGACCACTGAACAGATTGACCTAGATAATAGCGACGCGTCTTCTTTGGTCTACTGCTCAGTTGTTTGTGGGTTTTCAACGTAACTCTATAATGTAATTTGAAGATGAATACTTTTATTCAGTTGTTGCATCGATGATGCAGTTTGTAGTGCGGTAAGATTGCCATGAAAGTATTGAAAGTCGAATGGAATTGTTTTTTCCAATATGGCGACTAGTCAACTGATCACGTGACTTTCTCTTCCGGAATATTTTCTCACTTTTCAATCGTCGTTTTCACCACGCTATGAATCAATACAATGAAAAAAATAGCTGTTATATTAAGATTAATAAGAGATCAATCGTTTCTGATAATATTTTCTGTACTCTCGTACGGGAATATGAACGAATATATCGTTTGAAAAATAGGTATGAAAATCCCCATGTTAAACCTATGAGGGAAAACAAGGAAGTATAAATTTGTTCCTCCGCGAACTGCATCATGGGAAATATTTTGACCTTATAAGGAAAGATTTTCGCGTCTCCTCTTTTGAAGAGGGAACAACGATTTCGAAAATTATATATCAATTTGTCATAAAACCAACAGATTTAAAGTAAATCAGAATTTGGCAGTTAGCATACAAAAGTAAACATGAATTAGGTATTAAAATCATTTCTCTAAGGCTCCCCCCATGTCCACCGGTGATTTTTACAGCAAAATGTGGCCGATTTATGAAACCCTCACCCATTTGAGTAAAATGTCTGGATGGGCCTGTATTACTGGACTTAAGCAGTGGATTGTTATAGGTATATTATGTCTAACTTTTGAAACTATAAAAATATCAGTCTCATGCCTTACTTGTAGTATTTTCATGAAAATAATTTATTTGCAGCAGACTACGTTGCCTCCACCAGAATCATTGCATTCCTGCTCGTATATGACTTTATTCGCAGTTACATCTGTACCACATGTAGGAACAACATTCAGTCAGTTGCCTTTGATGCCAGTGATGTCGCATTGTGGTACCGCCAAGGATTTAACCCACATTATCAAGGACCAAAACATTGTGTCAGATGCCATTCACGAACACAATGAATCATACACACAGATGATAACTCCAAGTACATTATGTGCCATACTATGCATTCCATGCCAAAACTGTGCAATTGTGCTTGTATATTAAAAACTTTCCCAAATGCAAACTAGTCTGGATGCAACTGTAAATAGTGCAACAACGGACAAAACTTCAAGCAAATCAATCAATTGAAATACAATCTTCCGAAATTAACATTTCAAATAGCGAGATGGAGAATAGCCTTGAACGGAGGGATATTATGTCGTATCATTCAAAAACTTGTGGATCTTCAAGATGATTTTCCTGAGCACTACTTCCCAAGGGACCATGATATACCGTTTTAAAGCTGAACAGTACGTTAGTAACTCTCAATCAGATCGAGTGCAAACTTTTGGAGTATATACAAATGGAAACTGAAAATCTTTTTACACGAAACATGGAATTGATTTCTAAATCCTAACGGCTTTAGTCAAAGTGTGATCATGTCTACATCCATCATCCTTGCCGCAAGAGTATTTTACAAAGTATATGAGCATAAATGAAGTCCTTTGAAGGAGGATGTACTTCGGTCAAAACAAGACTTTATAGTATAGATGTCTATAGTGTATGCTTTGATCAACAAGATTAGACTACTATGTAGAATAGATGTCTATAGTGTATGCTTTGATCAACAAGATAAGACTACATAGACACCTTCAAAGTAACTAGTTGTGGAACAGTGATAGAATACATGTCTATTCTGTATGTAATGTACTGTGTATGTGCTCAATAATATAATATTTCTGGTACAAAATGTTGAATGAAATGCTTATTACACATTAATGCTTAATAAATGCTTACTGTAAATACACTATATGTAGATCTTATTTCTTATTTATTTGGAATAGAATTCATCTATTAAGATAAGTGTTCAAAATATTATTTTCCAATATGCATGCTATCCATAAATTTCAGCTCATTTTGGTCATTACATCTAAATTCTGAATCTTGCTCTTAGCCCCTGAATGAATTCACTTTTTCCCTTAAGGTCAACATTTTTGAAAAGTTATGTTGATGGGTTGAGTTTGATTTCCTTAAATAACAATGTTCAAAGGAGACACCGATCTTCAAGGTCAGAATATATTCACAACATCTGATGCAAACTTATAATGGTATTGCATTGTGTCATATCGTTTATTCATTAATGGTTTTTGCTCATGGTTACATTAACCCTTTCACGACGAAAGGCTCCATATGGAGCCCTATTATGTTATATCTTTCAGGACGAAAGGCTCCATTATTTTTATTCATTTACATCAATGAAATGACAATATCTCTAGTTCTATTCATTGTATTTTTACACAAAATTCTGGCAAGTTGTTTAAATGTGATAATCTCTATCAAACATTGTATTTTAGATATATAGTTTTAAGTATAGGCCCCGGGTATTGGTAATTTACAGATTCTCCCTGAAAAACGCTCTTACTTATCCATCACCAGGCCAACATTTTCCTCTTAAATTCATGTGACGAAAGGGTCAATTTATTATAGGTGCATTCTCGATTACAATCAAGAATTGTCTCATCTCTTGAGATCATGGTTTGAATGGTTTTGACAGATCATAATGCAAGATCAGATCACAATTTGTACATCTATTTAAACAGTAATGTAAATTAAACAACAGAGCGACCGAAAAAAAGGAGACCATTGAAGTAGGCGATATCTCCCAAACTAGACAAGTGACATCAATGAGATTTTTCACACACCAGAACAGTTCTATGGAAATTTGTTCATTTGTCCATAAAACTGTTCTGGTGTGTGCAAAATCTCATTGATGTCACTTGTCTAGTTTGGGAGATATTGCTTACTTCAATGGTCTCCTTTTTCCGGTTACCCTGTATATGTCAAGCTGAGATATGTTGTCAAAGATATGTAACTGAAAAGTATTACTGAATAACAAAAAAATCAAATTTATACAATCTTTAACACTGGGTGCATCATTGTAGTTTAGTGCTATTTAGTATTTCTTGTTTATACTTTTCTCAGGGGCAAAGAAAATGTGTAATTGATTCAATTTCATTTAAGTTGCATTTGCTTTTGGCTTATCCCAGGTTTCTTGTGCCATCTGCTCACATCCCAACACTTCTGCACAACAAAAAATAACTTTTCAAGTGCGATAATTATCCTCTTAGTTCTTTCATTCGTAAAATCCTACAACTGCCTGACTGCAAATGACAACGAGCGAACCCCCCCCCCTGGTCAAAAATTATTTCAAAATCATGCAGTTTTTCACCATTCTGAGCACTTTTAAAGTGATTTTGGCCATTTTGGACCAAAATTGTCAAAAGTGAACCCCCCTGGAATTTTTCAAAAAGTGACCCCCCCTTGGCAAATCTTGGCTACGGGCCTGAAGTGCATCTTCGTTCACTCGGCTCCCATCGGGAACGCAGTGAAGACCGAGAATGCGAAGATGCCTGATGTGGCTATGGACTTGTAAAATCTGGTTCTAGTGCTTTTAATTGTGGTAATTATATTTCAACCTTAGTTGTGATCCTGTGATAGAAGAGTACTGACCTGTTCTTTTTCTAGATTACCAACCATCTCCTCAAGCTTTGCTTTACCAGCATTTAGGTCTTCTTGAGTTTTCTTCAGTGCATCCATTTCAGCCTACAACAATAATGAAAATTTTATAAATCAGACAAAATCAAAAGAACAAAATCACAGAACAGAAAGTAGCTGCATAACCTATGAGGACAAGTTTCATTTTAGTTTAGCACATTTGGCCATTGAATCTTAGCCTTAAAACTTTTTATAACAGTTTGATGAAGTGCTATTTTGTCATCTTGTTCTGAAATTGTATCAATTTTGATTTTAATAGTTATTATTAGTTATACTGTATAATGTCTGGATTATTACTGAGATTACATTGAAACTGCAAGTATTTAGGTATTAGAAAATGTTTGGAGATGAATATCAATAAAATCATGTATATCCACCTAATGACACTTTGACATATTAATATAATATTAAGAAAATATTCTTCTAGTTGATTTGGGGCTTTTTGCCACATTAAATTGAAAAGGCACATCCTTTATACTCCCCTATAAATAAATCTTATAATCGATCTTATTTGGCTCACCTGGGCTTGTGCAAATATTTCCTTCAACCTTCGCCTCATTTTATCCTCCACTGCAGACAGAACAGAGGCTTTAATCTGCTCATCTGACAACTGGTTGGAACTCTGACCCTGTGTGGAGGATGTAGATGCTACAATAAAACATTTTAAAATGAGGTTATTTACATAATCTATAATCTAACCCTGCAAGAAGGCTGTTGATGCAAATAATAAAGCAAATATTCAAAACAGATAAAATAACAATTTTCACATATCAACATATTATCTCTCCTTTTCAATTTAAATGTTAAATTGAGCTTTAAATTTACAATGCAAAATGGAGTTGCTGAAATAAACGAATAAAAAAAATCCTTACTGTGTGTCGTTGCTGCCTGTTGTGGATAGCTAGTCTGCCCGGCCACTGGGTTGTAACCCCCTGAGGGTGGATAACCTGGGTAAGGGTTTGCATAACCCCCTGGGGTATAGCCTGCCCCTGGGTAACCTCCTGCTGTAGATGATGCGGGGTACGATGTGGAGGCGGGTGCATTGTAAGCGGAATATGGTGTACTTCCTGCAGCATTAGGTTGTGGCATTCCATAACCTAGAACACATGGAAATATAATCAGTGACGTGGAAATATAATACAAGGTATAAGGTTATTGTTCCATTCATAGTTTCATACATAGAGATAATTACAATGTGACACAGAGCATACAAATATAATATAACTTAATGTAATCTAGAAGTATAACCCAGTTATCTATTTTTGAATCTTTAATGGCAAAGAAAGATCTGCCAAAATGAAAGAAAAACCATTAATTCACGGAATTAAGGTTTGACCTGGTAGGTTTTGTGTTGACGGTCACTTTTTACATGTGATGATGATCTTAATTGTTTATTTATGATATTTGGTAACTTTAGGTTGTCCTGCTAAACTCCCACAACCAGAACATGTTTCAATCATTTCAAAGAACAAATTACTCTTTTGAAGAGTTTGATTTTGCATTTTCTGAAGAGAGCTTGAACTTCAGGTAGTAACTATTACTTTTGGCCTCTGATATCAGGGTTGCTACCCTTTAACCTCTTGAATCCCAGGCTCTAAAATCAGTTGAAACCAGAGAATTTTTCATTTTTGCCACCTTTTGACATTTTACGGGTTTATTACAATTCTATACAACTTTAGATGCTCAACTTTATAAAATCAGACAACAGAGATCATTTCTACACATTTTAGAACAATTTTCTTGTAAATTGGATGAAAATTGTTCAAATTAGAGCAATTTTAGTGAAAAATTTTGTGACAGATTTTCTCGTCACTCTGGCTTTCAAGGTCTACTGCAGGTAGTCAAGAGGTTAAACATCCAAAGTAAAGGCATAATTATATTATCCACATACCTGGTCCCCCTGTGGGGTAAGGGAGTCGACCTCCCGCAGGTTGTCCCCCTGGTGGGTAGGGTGGCCTAGCAGGGCCAGTTTGGCTACGTGCAAACACAGGAGGCTCTTCACCAAACACTATGGTCATCACCTGGATCAGTCCCATCATATCTGATTGTGGCTGCAAACAGATTTCATCTTTGATTTAAAAGAATCAAGGCTCACATAGATGGCGTGTAGCTCCCTATTATGTGAAAGAAATGATGAAATGATTTAATTTAAAAAACTAGACTTCTGACATTTTTTCAAGCTGTCATACAAGAAGAGCCAAAAAATGTGATTCCCTTCTTATATTCTTGCCAGTTCAGAATTGGGAGCATTTTTTTGGCCCAACCTGTATTTTTAGAAAAAAGGTTGATATTGAAGTCGATTGACATTGGGACTTAAAGATCATTATGAATTTCCCATTTTGTCATACATGGATCTAAGGATTAGCCTCCAAATACATACATGTACAGGGCCGTCAGATGGGGGGGTGCGATGGGTGCGACCGCACCCCCCTTTGTCACCCCGAAAAATAAATTTGAAAAAAAAATTTTGAAAAAAAAAAATTTTTGAAAAAAAATTTTTTTTATAATTTTTTTTTCATTGACTCATACACTTTGAAAGTACCCAGAAAGCACCATATAGCATCTTAAAATTGTAAAATATTCTAGGGGTATTGGCCACCCCTCACACCCCCCACAAAACAATGGAAAAGTTCTAAATTTATTTTAGTGTTTTGTCTCAGACACTTTTAAAGTGCCCAGACATCATCAAATAGCTCCTTGATATAGTTAGTGTTTCTGGGGGACTTGCTCCCCCTCTTGCATCTTGCACTTGCATAGACCCCCCCCCCTCTGGCACCCCCCCCCCCTTGACCCCCCCCCCAAAAAAAATTGTGATTTTCTCAAATTCTTTAATTGACTCATACACTTTAAAAGTGCCCAGAAAGCACCAAATAGCGTTGTAAAATTGTAAAATTTTCTAGGGGGAGTGGGCCACCACTCACACCCCAAACAAAACAATGGAAAAGTTCTGAATTTGTTTTATGTACTGTCTCAGACACTTTTAAATTGCCCAGACATCATCATCATCCTTGATAAAGTTAATGATTCTGGAAGACTAACACTTACTCGCCCTCTGGCATCCCCACTCCACCTCCCCCTCTGGCAGCCCCCCCCCCCCCATTAACACCCCCCCCAAAAAAAAGCCAGAAAGCACCAAATAGCAACTTAAAATTGTAAAATTTTCTTGGGAAATAGGCACTTTTAGGCACAGACACTTTTAAAGTGCCCAAACTTCATCGAATAGCACCTTGATATTGTAAATTTTGATATGGGGGACAAACACTTGCCCCCCCCCCCTCTGGCACCCCAGCCCCACCTCCCCCTCTGGCACCCCCCCCCCCCTTTGACACCCCCAAAATTTAAAAAAAAATTGTGATTGTTTTTCAATGTTTTTATTGACTTATACACTTTAAAAGTGCCAAGACGCACCAAATATCATCAATTGTAAAATTTTCTTGGGAAATAGGCACTTTTAGGCACAGACACTTTTAAAGTGCCCAAACTTCATCGAATAGCACCTTGATATTGTAAATTTTGATATGGGGGACAAACACTTGCCCCCCCCCCCTCTGGCACCCCAGCCCCACCTCCCCCTCTGGCACCCCCCCCCCCCTTTGACACCCCCAAAATTTAAAAAAAAATTGTGATTGTTTTTCAATGTTTTTATTGACTTATACACTTTAAAAGTGCCAAGACGCACCAAATATCATCTTTAAATTGTAAAATTTTCTAGGAGAGTTAGCCACCCCTCACATCCCCCACAAAACAAAAGAAAATATTCTGAATTTCATGTATTGTCTCAGACATTTTTTAAGTGCCCAGACCTTGATATGGTCAATGTTTCTGGGGGACAACCCCTTGCTCCCCTACTGGCACCACACCCCACTTCACCCTCTCATCCACTTTGACACCCCCATAAGAATTTGAAAAAAATGCACATTTTTCTTATTGACTCATAACGCACAGGCGTACCAGATGGTTGCAAATTCGCTCCAAATACAACCAAATTTCAAAATTTTCCTGGGGGAGAAACCCCACAACCCCCTGAATACTCAGTTTTTTATTCACTCATCTCTTATTCTCATGGTGGTGGCGTATTACTTGGAAACTTACACTTTGAAAGTGCCCAGAAAGCACCAAATAGCATCTCAAAACTGTAAAATTTTCTAGGGGGAGTGAACCACTCCTCACACCCCCCACAAAACAATTGGAACTTTTGGAAGTTGCATTTGTTAATTCCAAACCAATATAGGGAGTAACTGAGCCCCCCCCCCCCTCTGACTTACGCGATTTGATTTACGCGGCAAAAAATTGACAATTTTATATTCTCTTTAGTAAGCTAAAAAACCGCACCCCCCTTGGAGAAAAGTGTCTTACGGGCCTGATGTACTGCTCTTTTAACCAAACTTCATCTTTATTCTTTACTTACATGTCTCCATTCGTGCAGATATGGTAGAAAAACTCTTCCATTTGTATCCACATGTTTTCCTTGCTTTATCTGCATTGTACTGGTGGGTTTTACAAACACCATTGGCGGGTTGTATGGGTGTGACTCTAGTAGCCATAAACACACTGGGATGTTATATGTTGCACCTAAAACAGTCCAAGAATAATTCGGATACGTTAGAAAGATGTTTGTGTTTATGTGTTTCTTTCTTTAAGATAAAAGGCTGAGTGTCTCAAACACTTGTATGTAATACGGTGCACCTAAAATACATAAAGAATAGTTTAGACAACAGATTAGAAAGAAAGTTTTGTGTCTATGTGCTTCCCTTAAGAAGATTAAAGGGTTGGACTGTTTGAGCTATAACACACACTAGTATGTAATGTACTGCTCTTAAAATACATTTCACACACAGAGTGATTTAATTCATAACTTTGGATAGAACAACAACGGATTGTTTCAGTCTTTATGGTTTCCCTGTTTTATCTGAAAAGCCATAAAAATCATAGATAACTGTTATTGAAACATTTGATGGAATATTACGAAATTTTTTGAAAAATCCCACTTTCAGATCTGAACCATGGCTGCATATTCTGTAAATGTTGCCAACTAAGACAAGCAATAAATCACTTAGAATATCTATTGACTTACAAAGGTTGTTACATTTTTGTGGGAGGGGGTATGCTCCCGAGGGTAAGTTACAAGCTTATAGAGCTCGAGTTTTTGGCGAATAATGGTTGGTGAAATGAATCAAAATTCCAGTAGGACTGCATCCTCCAATCACAGGGCTTCAAAATTCTTTTTACTCTCTGCGATAAGCAGTTAGCATTTCTCCGATTAAGAACTCGCAATCTGATTGGCTGTCGAAACACTGCGACAGAAATCATGTATAAGTCATTGGGCATAATTAGATCATGTGATTCAGTTTAACCGGGCGCTTCCAAATTGGTTATAGCAGGGGGAAGAAGGAGGTACAAATTCTGGATACCTGCTTAGGAGGATGATAGGACTGCTGTTTATTTACCTTTATAATTGACTGGAATAGTTCCCTCTAAACACAAAAGTTCTCTTCTACTTCCATCATTGAATACTGAAACACAATAAAACAATTTAATTTATTTGTACCACAAATGTGTGTAAACAATATTGAATTCTGAACTTACTGAAATATTTTTAATTAACTTACTCATTAACTCAACCATGGGCATAGCACCTGTTACGCCCAGTACGCCCAAAGAAGCACAGTCTTAGGCCCAGCATTCAACGTCAAGTTTTAGTGCACTATTTTTGAAACTTACCGAAGAAATCTGTGGATGGTCTCAGATCAGGGAAATGTTGAAATATGTTCATGCAGTCACGTTTCACCAAATCCTTTTGGGTATACTGAAAATCGATATACAAATATCAATTAGAATAATTACTTAATTCTATCATTTATAAAAGGTAAATCACTTTGATTCAGTACATTTAAACTTTTCAAAAAATGATAATTTGGAAATGGGAATTTTCAGCATGTAATTAAGGTGACTATTTTAACAAAGATCATGCATCACATGTAACTGTAACACGGGGTACCATCGAATAATTTTGGCAACGTACCGGAGAACGACATTTTACTAAGAAATGGCAATAATTTAGCACAATATATTTTTCAACTAGAGTTCTACTTTGATTTTGACAAAAGTAAGTATTCCATGCAATGGCTATTTCATTCATGAGTTTGTAGGAATTCTGTTGGAACCCAGTTCTGATCAAGTACGAAGTTATTGAAATCGGCGCAGTCGGACTTTACTCCGAAAGATGGTTTTTCGATTATAACTTTTTACAACATTTAAGTATAGACTTTTGAAAAAAGTACAGAATAGTCCTTATACTATTGAATAATTCTGTTATTTCTGATTCACACGACTCTGATTTGTTTAATTAAAAAAAAAGTTTTAAAAATATTACTTAGGAACGTAACCGGAGCTGGGAACGTAACCGGAGCAGATTACTTGAATTATATAATTTAAAAAAATAAAATATATGATTTAAAGCATATATATTAATAAATACGCATTCGAACAATCCCGTTCGTAAATTAGTATATGTGCTTTAAATCATATATTTTAATTTTTTTGATTAAATAATTCAACTGATCTGCTCCGGTTACGTTCCCAGCTCCGGTTACGTTCCTAAGTAATATTTTTAAAACTTTTTTTTAATTAAACAAATCAGAGTCGTGTGAATCAGAAATAACAGAATTATTCAAAAGTATAAGGACTATTCTGTACTTTTTTCAAAAGTCTATACTTATATGTTGTGAAAAGTTATAATCGAAAAACCATCTTTCGAAGTAAAGTCCGTCTGCGCCGATTTCAATAACTTCGTACTTGATCAGAACTGGGTTCGCACAGAATTCCTACAAACTCATGAATGAAATAGTTATTGCAAGGAATACTTACTTTTGTCAAAATCAAAATAGAACTCTAGTTAAAAATATGTTGTGCTAAATTATTGCCATTTCTTAGTAAAATGTCGTTCTCCGGTACGTTGCCAAAATTATTCGATGGTACCCCGTGTGTAAATGCAGGATATTTACTGTCACGAGGGCCAAACAAATTGCTAAAAATTAAACCAGTGGAATAATATATTGTATTATAGATACATGTTATTCAATTCAATGAAATGTTAAATTGTTTGATAGAAATAAGCAGGGATCTCCAAAAGATTTACTTGTTTTGATCTAACATGTCTAAACATCTCACCTATTTGGGACGGTGTTAACAGATTTGCAACAGGGTGGACCCTGGGGTTAGAATCATTTTAAGATTTCAACAGAACCAGCATCCATAGACACTAGTGGATTATTGGTTTATATTGTAAATAAAACTTACTTTTGCAAGGGCAGTTCGTAAGTAAGCTTCATGTTGAGCCATCTTTCATTTGAGCTGAAAATGATAAAAATCAGGATAAAAGGGGAATTTTTTTTTATTTTGATTGTTTAATAATCCCAAAGTATTTTTAATTCATAATGATCTGTAACTTGCATCATCAATAGACTTGGATCATTTCTGAAGAGCTTTGAAAATTGCTCATCTCTTCAGCAGCATAACACGTTCTAAAATAATTTATCTCTACTTGCACCTTTACTATACTACTTGAACCTTCTTAAATGCATCTACTTTTAATTAATATATTTAATAAGGCCCGTAGCCAGGATTTGCCTGAACCCTGCGAATCCCCCCCTAGCTACGGGCCTGTTATATATATAAATTTAATATACTGCTATTTACTTTCTACAATATGTGTTTTTCAAGCTATTAAATTTGATTACAAAAAGAAAGTTCATGTCAAAGTCTATTGATGCTGCAAGTACATATAATTATGACTTATTTTGGGGTAATTAGGAATGGAATTTAAGAAACTGGCCTTTAAATGTCACATTGATTTCTATGGTATTTACAAAAAAAGGGAAGGGTCATATATTTTGTGATCAGGGTTCTACCTTCAGATTGACATGATCAACATGATTGTTATAATTTGCCGGGCTGGTGAGTCCATTTTCCCAATGGCAACCTGTGTTTCCAAATCCATTGTCAAGAGTAAAAAGGAATTTCATGCAAAATGTCATCATCTGACATTTGTTACAGATGCCACCAACCATTGACCATCGCCACAAAAAAGTTGGAGAATGGAGGCAGGCCCGTAGCCAGGATTTGCCAAGGGGGGTTCACTTTTTGGTAAATTCCAGGCTGGGGTGTTCACTTTTGACAATTTTGTCCAAAAATGGCCAAAATCACTTAAAAACTGCTCAGAATGGTGAAAAACTGCATGATTTTGAAAGAATTTTTGGCCAGGGGGAGGGGGGGGGGTCGACTCCCCCCTGGGCTACGGGCCTGGGAGACCATAACAATATGACAACAATTGTGGTAGACTGCCGTTTGCAACAAGGAGAAAGTTTAAGAATAATATTAGAGATGCCAATATTATGTAATTAGTAAATGGCCTGTAATAAAATGATATTTTTCGATTTTTCAATTTTTGGAGATGAAGCCACTTTTAAGCAGTCATTATCATATCAAATCTATGTTTTATTTAACGCCGTCCTTACATTAGATGGACCCCAAAAAATAATGTTGGACGGAAAAATAAATTACTCCTGAGTCCCTTGGACGCACTTTATTTCAACAGCAATTTCCAAAAATCTTACCTCTTAGAACACTCAAACAGTAGTAGAAACGGCCAGAGCAGCTTATTAATCCTCTGAATGTATGTTTTATGAGACGCTTTGTACAAAATTTAAAAACAATTGTTTCAAAATAATCGGCCATATTCAGGATGTCATTACATTACAAGCCGAATCACGGAGAATTCTCCGGCTTTCAGACGAAAATCTCCGGCCTTCAATTTAGTTAAACATATCAAATGAAAGAATATAAATTGGCCTACCTTGTGAAGACAAAATCTAAGTATAATAGGCAGATAATCAGCAGTGTTTTAGAGAAATACTGAGATAATTATCTTACTGTAATTCGGCCACCATTTTGATTGACCTCTGAACCAAAACTTCATTGCTTTGAGATTAATGGGTCAGTAGCAAAAAACCTTTATCACTGTCCTGCCAACTTTCAATGGATACTATTATTAACACATAAACTTGATAACAAACTGTTTAATTAATACAACTGATCTTTTAGGCATTATCTTACATGATAGTAAGGAAGCACAAAGGGCAACATTTGAAAACAAATAAAATATTACAAGTCAAAAATACATATCAAACTAGAATGAATGTTGATCTTTATATTTCATTGAGATTGAAAATGTGTCAGAAAGGAATATTGAGAGTACATCAGATTGAGGAGGAACATGGGGCAACATTGAAAGACAAAGTAATTAGGAATTTTTTTTCATTTTTAATTAGTTTCAGGCCTTTAATTTTTCGGACCCACTTTTTTTGGTTTGGACTCCATTTTTTTTTACCGTGGGGTCCATTGGACCCACTTTTTGGTAACACTAAATAAAACGCTGCAAATGTACAGTTTGATATAACAGATGTAAAATTACACTGATTTTTGGCATGGTAAGATGCAAATGACAAGAGAATGAATGAATAAAAGCAATAAACTTTCATCTTTTATTTGAAAACTGATATAACCGAGAAGATAATATGGTTTTCACATCAGTATACCGTATATCATTTCCAATGTTTCAGATTAAAAAAGGACATATTAGTCTTTGATTATCATTTCTAAGTCGGTGTTAAAACCAAAGAACATAATAGTGAGAATGACGAAATAATCGCGATATCAAGAAATTATTATGGTTAGATACTCAGTTGCTATAGCAGTGCACGAGAAACAAGAGCATAGATCATTACAGTAACAATATTGCATCAAAAATGTCATGGCACAATGAGTCATCCACAGCTGACGATTCAGTTGATGATCACATCTTTTGCAACTCGCAAAAATGGAGAAAGTTTATTAATTTGACTATTTCAAAGACGTTACGTCAAAGATTTGTTTAATTGTCAGAATCAGTGATTGGATTTCAAAGACTGAGAAGACCAACCAAAGCAAAATTAGCAGCAAGAAATATCAGATTCATAAATATTTTGATGAGCCATTTCAACTTTCAAGAGTAGAGTCCATGGAACAATACTCAAATTGTTCACTCAGATTTGAATATCATTGGCCTGGAGCAGTTTTCATATTTATGTTACAAGGAAATGATCGTATAACTCACCTTAAACGGGATCAAAGTGGGAAATCAAAATAAGTAATATTTTTCAGAATTCTGAAATATTTCAATACGCATGCGCAGTGGGATTCACCTTAGTGGGAATCCATAAGCACCAACATAGCAGGGTTTAAATTTTTACCATTGCAATCTATTCCCATGAGAAGGTATTCAATAACTAAATAATAACTATTATCATTGATTTAGATCCTTTAAATTGGTTATCATAAAAATTGTAGTTACTTCAAAATTTTTAATGAGAAACTATTATTTTCAAAACATCTGGATAAAATCAATCACATTTTGTGAAAAATAACTCCATAAATAATTGAACATTCTATTATTCAATGTTTCCAAGTTCATGAAATTGGGCATTCTGATACTCATACACGTAGCATCTTTCTGTTTCACCTCAGGGCTGAGAAGATTTGAGATGTCATGGTTTATCATGATGGAAATTGGGTGGTATTAATATTTCAAGAGCAATATAATTATTAAAAACCAAGTGTTTTAAATAGTTAATTCTATATGATGTATAGAATTCTCGAAATCGTTGTTCCCTCTTCAAAAGAGAAGACGCGAAAATCTTTCCTTATAAGGGCAAAATATTTCCCATGATGCAGTTCGCGGAGGAACAAATTTATACTTCCTTATTTTCCCTCATAGGTTTAACATGGGGATTTTCACACCTATTTTTCAAACGATATATTCGTTCATATTCCCGTACGAGAGTACAGAAAAAATTATTAGAAACGATTGATCTCTCATCAATCTTAATAAAACAGCTATTTTTTTCATTGTATTAATTCATAGCGTGGTGAAAACGATGATTGAAAAGTGAGAAAATATTCCAGAAGAGAAGGTCACGTGATCAGTAGACTAGTCGCCATATTGGAAAAAACAATTCCATTCGACTTTCAATACTTTCATGCCAATTTTACCGCACTACAAACTGCGACATCGATGCAACAACTGAATAAAAGTATTCATCTTCAAATTACATTATAGAGTTACGTTGAAAAGCCACAAATAACTGAGCAGTAGACCAAAGAAGACGCGTCGCTATTATCTAGGTCAATCTGTTCAGTGGTCCGAAAGCAAATCTATAGTACTCGTTTCCGAATTTTGTTGTTCATTGTACAATCTTTTATTGATTAAACTCGGTATACTGACTATTAAAGCAATGACAAAGAAGAATACTTACGATGGTGTCATTGTTTTATTTAGCGTGCGGGTGTAAAAACAAAATTGAGTAATTAGTTTGATTTAGAACTTTCGTGTCACGCAAATAGCTACGCGAAATGCATAGTGGGAAAATATTGACCAATCAAATTTTGTCCTTTTTGAGTGCTTTTTTTAGTGCATATTTGCGAACGTTCTGATTCAAAGAGCGAACCGCGAAAAGGAGAATTGACATTGATCAATCATACTGTCATATGATATCATGGACCTTCCATGATCATATAAACCAACTTCTATCAATCCTTTAGTTTGATCATGGCATGCAACAATCTGAAGATAAAGATTATACCATAGCTTATATATAAAAGTGATCAATAAATTTTGGGGACTTTAACAGTATTATCTGTGGATTGATCAGGTTGAGTAAGGGTTTTAGACTTTCAGGGTTTCAGCTGTCAAACATTTAATTTTAAAAAATGGCTTCACACACAAAAATAATCAGGTTCAAGTTCATGAACTCATGATTGCACTATTGTCATGGATGGAAATGATAAAATACAATATAATGATCAATTAAAGAATATCTACAGTTTTTTCTGTTGCAGTAATAGTTCTATTGACATATAGAAATAATAAATAGTTTTCCAATGTGTTGATAAGAAAGCACAAAAAGCAACATCATAAAAGACAAAATAATTTTGATTCTTATTAGTGTTCATATACAGTGTCAAGTTACATAGCATCACTGATATTGCCACACCCCTTGTCTCAGCTGAGAGTGTCTATGGCTCTTAAAGTAGCATCTCTTACCTTCCCAAGGAAGACATATACCCGGGACATATATAGGGTGTTGACTGATGATTTTCCCAATGTATCCTTTCCTAATATACAAAAATGATTCATAATGAAGAAACCATTATTAAACAAAATCAATTTAAAAAGGATGTGTTGACTCAAATCTAGGGAGAATTGTTAATGATCATTGTTTATTATTTTCCAAAACTCACATTCCAGTCAGGCCCGTAACCAAGGGGGTTCACTCTTTGAAAAATCCCAGGGGAGTTCACTTGTGACAATTTTGGTCCAAAAATGGCCAAAATCACTTAAAAAGTGCTCAAGAATGGTCAAAAACTGCATGATTTTGAAAGATTTTTTTGGCTAGGGGGAGGGGGGTTCGCTCAAACCCATCCAACCTCCCCTGGCTACGGGCCTGCCAGTATCCCTCAAAATTTGTACATACATGTACTTCTTGCATTTGATGAGTTTGAAGAAAAATATAGTGTTATGGCTATTCCTTAATTCAAACATTATTAAATAAATCTGTTAAGATTGACCTGATTTAGCTATAATGCTGCAGTTCCCATGGGGTTTCAGATATGTCATGGTTTGCTAATGTTTATTTTACCAAAAATGGCTTCTTATGCAATATGATATAATCAGGTCATGTTTTTACTAAATAGAAATAATAATCTACTAAAATACATAAAATTAGTATTCAATCAATTGAAACTTGAAAGATAATAAAAATATTCATCACAACTTCTTAATTACTATTGGAATATCAAAAGAATGTTTTTAATGTTTGGATATGAAAGCACAAATGGCAATACAGTTAAAACAAAAACAAATTTTATCCCTGATATGAATGGTTTGAAATTAGTGACAGGTGACATAGCATCATAATGACCACTCCCCCAACCCCTGCTCCTCCTTCCTCTCAAAGTATATAAAGGTGCAACAATTAGTGCAGGGGTCAAAATATATTTAAGTTTGGATATTTTAAGTTTGGATATTTAATCAAGACTAACATTATATTTTCATTATCTACATGAACATTGTTTCAGCTGATATTCCTCTTGAAACGTTGTGAATCTTAAAAATCTTTAAGTGGGACTCCCTTTATAGAAGCTTTGAACTGAATTTATACTTCTTAATGCTGAAATTGATAGTTCATACATACATTTTAAGAAAATAAGTATGTCAAAGAAGGTTAAAGCCAAATATTGACCTGAAAGCTCGGAAAAATAAAAACTTTGAATTTTCTCTCTACAGTCCTTGTTGTGTCAATCTGAATGGGTATTGATCTTTTCAAACTCTTCCTTTAAGTCATATTTCAAAATCTCCTGATCACATTAAGTTCATCATGATTCAGGAAAATAGCATCGTGCAAAATATTTCTAAGAACTTGTTGATTCAATTACAGAATTAGATTTAGCTTATAGAATTGAATGTTCATTAATCTTTTTTGAAGTATTTTTCCTAAACTGATCAATGATCAAAATTCACATTTTTTGTTTCATCAATTCGAGGATATAGATTGTTACTACAATGTATTATCTCTTGAAAACTGATTAAAAATTCAATGGAATTAAACTGGATAATCTCTTCTGGGTTCTGGGTGATCAGGTTGAGTAATGGTATTAATTTTCAAGGCCGGTTTCAGATCTGTCAAATGTTTTTCAATATCATATTCAAAATTGGCTTCCTATAAATCCTCACAATGTTATTATATCCTCAAGAAAAATGGAAATAATGTTGTAAAATGGAAATAATGTTGATAATCATCTCAGTATTAAATGCTTTCAAAAATGTATCAAAAAATATAGTTTTTAAGAATTATCTAGATGGTTGTGAAAAATATAGGCCTGACATATTAATAGTCAGCTTCCTGCTGTGTTGACTGCAAACATAAAACCCCAGAAACATAAAAACAACTTTGATCCTTTAATAAACAAAACTGTTTACATACCATTGAAGGGAAATTGTTAACACAAACACAAATTCAGTCACAAACAACGATTAAAATGTAATACAAAAAAACAACTTAAAAAAATTGTGTTTGAAGAGGTTTTATATGTCTCTGACAAAAGATAGTGCCTAACTGCTAGTGTAACAGAAATGCACTATTTCTGTTTTATATTTATATTTTAGGGAAATCAAAAATGTTTGGACTGGGTCATAATTAAATGTTCACTATTTTAGTGGAGTCAAATACAAATGTTGGTTTCATAAATTCCCAGTTCATAAATCATTGCATGTAGATCTGGATTCAATGCTCTGACCATTATAGCCCTTTGTCATAAAGATTCTAATGTTTGTAAAACAGAGCTGAATATTAAATTCACACGCTCAGTAGCATGTTGTTCAGATTTACTCTTTCACTCGAATTTATTAATTGCCACAAATCAAACGAGGCTGACATTTCATATTTTGTTCACTATCAATTTTATCAGTTCGGATGCCACTCTGAGATATTTAATTATGAAGCCTTTGTTTATTGGAAGACAAATATACTGCTATTGTCCCAAGGTGCGCATGTACATCTGTGAGAATTCTCTCCTTGGTGAAATCATCCCACCCACAGACAAAGAATATTTTATGATGGGTGTAGTTTATTGCAACTAAATATGTATTTTTAAATGCTTGAATATGCATTGTTTATTAATCATGTAAATGTAATTAGATGTTGTAACTAACTTTGATCTGATGTGTATCGACAGTTCCTTGAGAAACATTTATTTCTGACCACAGGAATAGATTATATTCACCCCCCCCCCTCACTGCAGCAATTAAAGTGATCACTGTACACATTCCCTTGTTTGCCAATGCAGACACGTGTTTACAGGAGAGTCAAGGGTAGTGCCCCATAAATTAAACTGTCCCCAAAAATCTCTGTCCAATCAGATCAACCTGTTCAAATTGAGATCCGCCTTTATTCTAAGAACTCCGAGAACTGTATATATACTGATGTATGACTTTTAAATAATAGAATAGCTTTTAGCTTAAAAGAAAATCATACAAACTTCTCAGGACAATATAATCATCATGAGGATGTGATTTTGAATAAGGATAGCTTTCAGCTTTTAAAAGAAAATCATACAAGCTTCTTTAAGGACAACAAAATTATCATGAAGATGTGATTTTGAGAAGATAGCTTTTAGCTTTTAAAAATATCACACAAGCTTCTTAGGACAATGTTATCATCATGAAGATTTGATTTTGAATAGCTTGATTAAAGAACAATTTTGAGATACATACAATATATAACAGTACTCGAGATGAAATAAAGATTATGCAAAATGTAGCTAGGAAAATGGAATAAACTTAGAAGTTGTGTCATCTACACAAATTTTATGTTTAGTAATACTATTATGGACTGAAGCCGTGAACATTATTTTATTAACGTTCAATTCTCGTTAAACGTTACATTGGTGCGTCGGCCGGGAAGAATGGAATATACTTTTCTATTCTCTTACCTGACGATTTTATGTGAGAAAGGCATCAAACAAAGGACCATTAAATATTCTATTATGATACTTCAGACAATGATGTGTGAGTTATATGGATTCTTCAATACACTACACGAGAGAAGTCTCTATTTATGCACCTTTACAAAACCACTGACGCAAAACTTTATGAATGAATTTGACCAGTTGACCACAAGGACAGCAGTTCAATGACTTTTCAAATGAATTACATTCACATAAACATTTAAGGTCTATGAATGACCTGAACAATAACAAATGAGGACAATATTAGTATTTTCTATGAATAAGAACATTTGAAAGAAACATAGACAAAATTAAATTCTTAAAATATCAAATGGATTTGGAGCGGATTATTAAATCGAAAGACTTTGAAATAGCTAGATTAGTTCGGGAGAATGCAGAACTTGTTAATAAACTCTCAGACGCTAAAAGAAGAATTTTTAGAAATCAATCTGTTAGGCCGGTTGACCGCTATGATGGCAGTGGAGACTGGCTTGACTACAAAACTCACTTTAGGGTTGTGAGCAAGGCCAATGGTTGGAGCTATGATGAAATGGCCTTGGAACTGAGTTGTGCTGTTAAGGGTGATGCCTTATCTGTACTCACTGATATGCCTGGTAGTGAACGTGAGGATTTTGAATCCATTGTACATCATTTGGAACAGCGTTTTGACCCAGCAAGCCAAGGCGACACCTTCCTTAATTTACTTGAGGCCAGAAGGAAGAATCCTAATGAAACATTATCACAATTGGGGCAGGATATCAAAAGGTTATCGAACAGGGCCTACTCGAAGTGGCCATATAAACTACGTATGGATATAGCGTTAAATCAATTTTATAATGCCCTTGAGGACACAGATATGAGGAAATACATCAAGAATCGGAACCCCCATGATATAGATGAAGCAGTAGGCATTGGATTGGAATATGAGTCCGATTATGGAACCGATGATCATCAAAAAGGCCTAGAAAGCATGCAGGCGCAAGAAGATCCCATTATTGATACCCAGATGGGCCAAATAGTACTAGAATTCAAAGAACTTAAAAATACATTTTGTCAGGCAATGGAGCATCTTGCCTCATATACTGATGAAAGACATCTCCCCAAATCTGATCCTATTCCAACGCAGAGTAATTTAGCAGCCTTCACATATAATTATCCCAAACCTCATAATCATCGTATTAAATGTTTTAACTGTACCCGGTATGGGCATGTTATAGCAGAGTGTCCAAAGCCTATTATAGGGGGCTCATCACCAAGAAATTTTAATCAGAATTGGAGGTCGGGAAACGAGCAGTAGCTGAGCCTGAGGGTCAGGGGTCAGCTAATATAAAGTATGATGGACCCAAAAATAAATCAAAACATCACGTAGGATATTGTTTTGATAATCAGATTACGGAACCCTCAGCTAACATTGAAGTTATAACGTATGGAGTACAGAGTATATATGGGGATACCCCTTTATTGATAACTGATTGCGTAGTAGGAAGTGTTCACATAGACTTATCAAAATGTAAGTCTGTATTGGGAAATGATGCAGCCAATATTTTGATACTTGAATCAAACCATGGATACCATTACCCACCTGCCTTCCAACCACCTTAAGGGTCGGTTAGACACTGGTGAACATTTGTCTTTGAATGCACTTGTATGTTGTAATGGTGGTAGATTTTTTGTTTAAGAACATTGTACAGTTTATGTTTTTGATCGGGACGATCAAACCAAGGGGGGAGCAGTGTAACAGAAATGCACTATTTCTGTTTTATATTTATATTTTAGGGAAATCAAAAATGTTTGGACTGGGTCATAATTAAATGTTCACTATTTTAGTGGAGTCAAATACAAATGTTGGTTTCATAAATTCCCAGTTCATAAATCATTGCATGTAGATCTGGATTCAATGCTCTGACCATTATAGCCCTTTGTCATAAAGATTCTAATGTTTGTAAAACAGAGCTGAATATTAAATTCACACGCTCAGTAGCATGTTGTTCAGATTTACTCTTTCACTCGAATTTATTAATTGCCACAAATCAAACGAGGCTGACATTTCATATTTTGTTCACTATCAATTTTATCAGTTCGGATGCCACTCTGAGATATTTAATTATGAAGCCTTTGTTTATTGGAAGACAAATATACTGCTATTGTCCCAAGGTGCGCATGTACATCTGTGAGAATTCTCTCCTTGGTGAAATCATCCCACCCACAGACAAAGAATATTTTATGATGGGTGTAGTTTATTGCAACTAAATATGTATTTTTAAATGCTTGAATATGCATTGTTTATTAATCATGTAAATGTAATTAGATGTTGTAACTAACTTTGATCTGATGTGTATCGACAGTTCCTTGAGAAACATTTATTTCTGACCACAGGAATAGATTATATTCACCCCCCCCCCTCACTGCAGCAATTAAAGTGATCACTGTACACATTCCCTTGTTTGCCAATGCAGACACGTGTTTACAGGAGAGTCAAGGGTAGTGCCCCATAAATTAAACTGTCCCCAAAAATCTCTGTCCAATCAGATCAACCTGTTCAAATTGAGATCCGCCTTTATTCTAAGAACTCCGAGAACTGTATATATACTGATGTATGACTTTTAAATAATAGAATAGCTTTTAGCTTAAAAGAAAATCATACAAACTTCTCAGGACAATATAATCATCATGAGGATGTGATTTTGAATAAGGATAGCTTTCAGCTTTTAAAAGAAAATCATACAAGCTTCTTTAAGGACAACAAAATTATCATGAAGATGTGATTTTGAGAAGATAGCTTTTAGCTTTTAAAAATATCACACAAGCTTCTTAGGACAATGTTATCATCATGAAGATTTGATTTTGAATAGCTTGATTAAAGAACAATTTTGAGATACATACAATATATAACAGTACTCGAGATGAAATAAAGATTATGCAAAATGTAGCTAGGAAAATGGAATAAACTTAGAAGTTGTGTCATCTACACAAATTTTATGTTTAGTAATACTATTATGGACTGAAGCCGTGAACATTATTTTATTAACGTTCAATTCTCGTTAAACGTTACACTAGTAACCATGGGCTTTCAATCTCTTGAAAGCCCATGCAGGAACCTAAAAAGAAAAAGAAAAATAAAACAATACAATGAACTCATATATTTATCATTTGTTCTTTAAATAAACTAGATCTAACAAATCATTAATTCACTTGAGGCAAGGGTTTAATAACAAATGTATTTTAATTTTTTTCTTAATACTTGTGTTTTCCATGGTAATTAATTTGTTATCCATTTATATTTCATGATTATCATAGATCTATCAAATATTGTTCTATTGCATACAATAATATAACAATTTGTTTACAAACATCATCAAACATTTATTCTAACCCCGCATGGATAATAAGACGCAGCCACTCACTAGATTGACGTCATCAGATTGGCAATCGCTGATTGGCCAAAATTGGTCACGAGGTAACGGTCCCGCCAAAAACAAGACGAGGTGAATCACTGAAATAGGAACACACGAAAGAAGGTCAACACTTCAACGTTCGATCTCGGACTAATTACAACTCTACTCAAAGGATTATAAAGTATACAAAGTTGCAACATGTCTTTCTGTAGAGAAAGGTTGTGTTTTCAAGGAGATCAAGGTACAAATCAGAAAGAATCAGGACTAATTCACCGACTGAATTTCGATTCGGAAAATGATGGCGATGTGAGTTGGCAAGATGCCTCGATGTCAACAGGTAGTTTGAGTCCTAGCAGAGACGATTCTATAGATACATGGCAGACTAACTTACTTAGCCCGACTCCAATGTCAAGTCCATGTATGGAGAGGTTTAGCAAGGGTCGACATATGTCACCCATTCCGTTTTCTAGCTATTTGGATTCGGGACTTGAAGATACTTTCGACTCAAGTCGGGAGCATGGCGAGGAAGGAGGGGCCTTGACAACGCCCACATTTACACCACCCCACAAGAACTTCAGGGCATTGAGGCTGTATGATACACCACACACTCCAAAAAGTCTCCTGCAAAAGTGTCAAAGACGGATTACAAGGATCAGCAAGAGTAAACTTGCATTGAACTGTGATAAACTGAAAACTCCAAAGCCTCCTGTCATCGCCCCCGATAGCCACCATCACACAGCCGCACTCAATGAGCGCCTTCAAGCCAACATCAACCCATTCACTCCAAGCAACAACAACAACCATGCATCAAGAACACACAGCCAGGGTACAAAGCGATCAAGACAAGACATTGAAAGGTACTTTAAAATTTAAATAACCTTCCGTATGGTTTGCATGCAGACCATCGAACTTTGACCTGATTAAATGTTATAAGTTTTACTGCAGGCAAATCATCATGGTTAATAATAACTGATGATTAATTCAAAACCTAGATAAGAATGCCAGGTTGTCACTTTGTATGACTAATGCCCATACATGTGTTTTGTATGTCTATTTTTAGGTATGTACTTAGCCCCCAGATGAGTGACCAGTAAACCTCAATGTCAAGTTGACATTTACAATTCAAATTTATTTTTCTACCTATCAAAAACCTAGATTTCTCGAGACAATCATGTCATTCGGTGCTTAGATATCTTGAACAATGCCTTATATGATAACTACATGTTTCAAAAGATATATATTAATCAACAGCAGGGGACGATAGTTTATAAAACTTTTTAGACTAATTGTTAATAGATTTTTTGATATGATACGGACCCCTCCTGAGTTATCTATATATCTATAAAAATAAGACCAATTTTTCGGACTTGAAATTGCTAATAATCCAATAGATATATCTACTGCTGTTCAATTAAGGGTCATTGTAAATCAATTAGTATTCTTTTTTAAAGCATCTCAAGTTTGATACATCTTTCCCACACATCTTATATGATTGTTATCTTGAAAAGTTCAGTTGTCAAATTCCCGTTGACATATCACAGAGTGATAGCATAGCAATCTAATGTCTAGTATTGGGGCTTCCATTCCATTCCACAGTGGTAAAAGTGAGTTCCATATTAACAAGAATCACACTTGGCAGTTCAAACATTTCTAATCCTAAAATAAACAAGCATCTAAACAGAATTAGGAAATTCGAATTACATGAACTGTTACATTGTCAATAATGTAATCTGTTGAATTAAGCTTCTTGGGAAGTTTTTAACAGTTTTGGTGGGAAATGGTTCAAATTAGCCAAACATTTGTATACTAAAATGCAATAATCCTTTAATGTATAGGAAATTTCCTTAATGGTATGTTTGTTTAGTTGTTTGTTTATTTGTTTGATTATTTGTTTCTATAATGCTTCAAAATAAGTAAATGCTTTCTGAATGAAAATGTTTGGAAAAGTTTGTTTCTTTAGGGAGTCAATTACAAAAAGCCCATAGACTAATATAAAAATCTCAGTTAATTACTTATGATGACCAACTTTTTATTTGACAATTATCATTATGTCATTAAATCTAGGTAATTAGATATTATACAGGTGAAAGTGACAATTAGATTTCTTGAACTCTGAACAAATTGAAATGTATGACATGTTTCAGTATCCTAAACTTCTGTTTTTATTATTTGAGCAAGTTTGGGTCTAGGACTCAATAAATGAGACATATGTTTCTTTGGGTCAAATATACATAGATAGACTTCCTTGATACCAGTATATGTTTGGGTCTGGTAGATGTCTGTTTTATGGTTTCTGCTTGAAAGTTTGGGTCTCTGGACTCTCAGGGGCATACGTGTATGTCAAGTTTGTATAGATAAGATTCTCTTCGTGTTTGGATCCTTCTAACTTATTTTTTGTGGTTTCTGTCTAGCAAGTTTGTACTCCGAGGCACATACATATGCTTTTGTCAAGTATGTGTTGATGGAATTTCTTGTGTTCTTTTGGTTCTGGGCATCAAGATTAAAGAAAAGTGTCAATAAATCACACAATGCGTATTTGATTATGTAAAATATTTCACACTTTTCATAAATGTGTGACAGTTTCATTTTCATATCTTTCTTATCAAGTCTTAAACGTATATACCCACTTTCTTTTATATAATCTTATACCCATTGATACATGTAGTTCTCACCTTCCCCAAACGGTATTTGATGCATTATATGGCTATCTTTATTAATTAAATTGCTCAACTTTAAGTGACACTTCACCTTCAAATTTAAAGTTATATTCTTATATTTCACATAAATCTACTTTAGTTAGGTTTATAAGATTTAATAGATTAATTATTTGTGTTAGTTCTAAGACTAGGAGATCTTAGACACCATTGACGTCACTACTTCTACTAAATTCGATCAAATCACAGTAAATCAATTATGATTTCATATATATTTATTGATCTGCTTTGTATATTTGAGCCCATGTTATTATATGGATGTCTCAAATTGTTTACTCAAAATTTTGAATATCCCTCCCTATTTAATTCATTTGAAACATAATCCAAATCTTATTATATTCACAAAAGAACCGTTTCCTTTGAGGAAGTACCTCTTTATTATAATCTGACTCATTCTGTAACTGGTTTAAAATGTCTAAATTTTATGTTTGTAAATGGTCTGGATTTTGGGGACCAGATTTTAAAAGTTTTCAAATGACACAAGATTATGATATTCTAGTCCACATGTGTTGAACACATGGGCCTATCTCAGTTGAAGATGTTTGAACAGATTAGTCAAGTGATCTCTTTCCCTTTGAAAATTTGAAATTAATTTTGATCATAATTTTAAGTTTCTTTTTTTGCCATAAGGAAATAGACTATTACTGAACAGTTATGATTTCTAATTTATTTTTGAAGTTTTCAATATTCTTCAGTGTTGCATTCATATCGATATAGATTTGATTCTAGGAAAATTAAATTGTGTGTAATTTGAAATAATTTGAAAGGGATGGCATTAAATGAAAGGATGTCAATTTATATAGAATTAATTTGTATAATTTCACTGATATAATTCACTACTTGATAATCAGTAGTATCTACATATTGTTCAAACTTTTATTGATCATTAACAGAAACCAGATTTCCTTTGCTTGTTCAATCCACAACTTCAAGATTTCCATATTCAGATTATGTGTCCTATTGTTTCAATAAGTTAAGTTGCATCAATTAAATCATAACTGAAATTCTAGATGTGTGAAGTTGTAATGATACACACATGTTCATGGTAGCACTTGCTTAATTAAGGACCACCTAACTGTATATAATAATAATCAAAACTTCCCCACACAGTTTGAATCCGTTTAATTGCTAAAACATAACCCAGACATATGTGCATCTTTGACAGGCCAAAGTTTGAATGTTAATAGCCATTGTCTTAGGAAACTGTTCTTTTTCATTTACAATAGCTGTTGGCTCATGGCTATTTTCAAAGACAATGGTGTTTTTGTTATGATCATTATTTCATTGTTTTTAACTTCTGTTACTTCCTAGAGGGTTAAACTTGTTGACTGTAATCTTGTATATATTAGGAGATAACTGTGCTTAAACACAGGGGAATAGGTAATCAAGTTCTAGTTGCATCTTTGAACTATGTAATTAATATTAAATTGATAATTAATTCTTTCATTGCCTTTGGAACTATTCCTTCTGGTTAACATAGAAATCTGTCTGAAATGAAACAATGGATGGATTAATTTACATGCAGATGGTCATAGTCACACTAGTGGCCACTGAGTCTTGCTGTGATTTATGAGGCTGGTCAGTTTGCATTTTGAATGGAAAGCTGAGAAATTGTTTGGGATGATTTTTTAAATTATTCAGGTGTTAATTTTTTGATCACTTTTTGTCATCTCTGTTTGGTCAGTGGTGCATTTTATTGCAGTAGGTTTTTATAACATCCAGGGCCCTGCTAAATATCAATGGGTCAGCACCCGGTCAATTGCCATTTTAAAACCACATTTATGCCAGTGTTTATAAAAAATGAATATCTTTAAGGGGTTTTGGAAGAAAACAATGCTCCGGCCATTGTGAACTGGTGTATGTACAGAATCCGGGATCTTTGAATGAAAGGCATTCATATCAACATATTTTTTATGTGATGTGTTTTATTTGGCTTGGTGCCTTTTCAGTAATCAATAGAATATTCAAAACAAAGGCCTGATTTACATGCAGATGGTTTCCAATCCAATTTATAATTGAGATTCCGATACACAGCGAAATGAAGACAAAACTTCTGTCGTTGTAATTAAAGTTTTTGGATAGCATCGTATAGACAGGTGGTTGTTATGGATACGTTTTCGAAGATAGTACTGTGAGAAAATTGGATTGTGGGAATATAATTAGAACGTAGTAGTGATGTCAGAGTTTCACCCGGGGCTTGATTTGTCTACTAAATTGCAATTACTGAATAATTTGATGATTGTTTCAAAGAGCACCTGATATTTTTTATGATTCCATCTGGAGACTTAAGCTGAGAATCATCAAGTCATTTTTATGATTTGATCTCTTAAAACTTGAAAGTTGAGTTTTTCTTTAAATCTACATACGGCTAACTGGCCTGTTCATAATAATTAGTCTGCTTTATGTCCGGTCACAAGGACCTGTAGAACTTGCGGTTTCTGGGCTCATGTTGACCAAATGTCCAAGAATTGTGGTAGACCATGTCACCAAGAATCTATTGTATTGTAATCTGGTCCTGGTCAACAGTTGAAAACGAAGCATGCTTATATTGCCGATGGTCCATTGGGTTTTAAACATCAGGTGATCGTGGTAAATTTGTCCAGTCTCAATTTCTTGAAACAATCAATTAATGATGCAGATGGTAGATACAAAGTGGCTGACCAAGCCAACCTGTTTGAGCTTTCAAGATAACACTCAATTTTCCTCAAATGTAATTTTTGCAATTGGGCAAGTCATCTGCTCATAAAACTCAATGTGATGGTGAAAAGACTGAGAAATAGCAATACAGTTTTGAGAATTCTTTTAATTATATTGTGTTTTGTGTGAATATTGTACATAATCTCTACAGGCTTACTAGGGCAGATGGCATTAACTCTTGTTGAGATTTCCCCAGATGGACAACTAATCCTTTGGTTCAAACATTGCTTCAGCAGGTGATCTGCAAATTCCATCACATTCATCTACAGTTCCTCATACCCTTACTAAAGAATACATTAGATCACATGCAACCAAAGAATGTTAAATGAATACTTGTAATTTATGATTCTCATTTTTGCATAAAAGTTGCTTTTGAAGCTCTTGAGCAAAATAATTTCAATTTTTTTGCAAATGACAATGTGATTGCCCTTTGAGATATCTGCAAGGGGTTCAGAACGTGAAGGATCCATCTCTGCCTAAATTAGCTCTAATATATTCATCCTTTGTTTTACGTAATGAAACATCTGCAAAGTTCTAACGGTGAAAATTCAAATCTCGGACCACGGTCATTGTCAATAGGCAAATATGGTCAGTTCGTGGCATTTAAAAACAAAGCTAAATTTATTAATGACAAGTAGTGTAATTGAAGTGCTCTAGGTAGCAATTAACATAGGCAGATGTTGGTTTTTCCTTCAAGATTTTTTTGTGGGTATAATTCCAACACATAAAATACTGTAACAGTAAAGGAATGTTGGTGAAATTATTTGTATTGATTTTTTTAAATAAAGTATTAATAAGAAATATATTTTCAAAAATCAATAATTGTTTTCAAAATTGAATTTAATCCATACAGCCAATATTTTGTTTGTTTTTTGACAGTTTCCTTTTAGTCACCTAATTGAGATATGTTTTATCATTCTATGAATTTGAGATCCTTTAATGTTTAGTTAATAAAGGAATAGGTTTGGATAGTTTATTAACAGGATTAAACGGTGGCAGCGGGAAGACACCTCTTGTATCTTATTTTATTTTTATTATGTGGATTGTAACAATCTAGTAATTAGTATTAATTAGTCTAATTTTTTATGACACCAGTATGACATCTCATGATGAGTATTAGACTTGTATCAATATTTCCCTAATTAACTATTGATGTTCTTAATTTAAGTTAAGACAATAAAGTGAAATGGACACTGTTAATTTGTTTGTAAGTTTGTGTAGCTAACATCTAGTGCTGGTTGTTCACAGTTAGCTAAACCTTCAACAATTTTAGCTTCCAAACCAAAACATTTTAACAAACATACATCCAGGATCTCAATTTCATGAATTTGATTTTGCTTATGTTGAAACTAAAACGTAAATCTAGAAAAATGCTCATGTCGTGTGTCCTTTTGCTATCTTTTGATAATTTTCATCATAAAAATCTTAACACTTTGTTTTAATTTGATATTTGTTAATTAAATGGTTCATAATTAGTTCTTGTCGCATACTTGACATTGTGCAAGTATTGCCCAGTTGTGGCTTCTATTACTGCTACTGATAGTGAGTTTAAGTGTTTTAATGTGCTTTGTATTGTTTATAGGGGTTTTGAGTTATTTAGTGTTCTAATATTATGTTTATTGAGCCTTTGTGTTTAATTATTTCATCAACATGTTCCACAAAATAAAACCAAAAGCCTCATAGAAATAGGGCAGCTTAGGGTCTCTGTGCTATTAAAGAAATCTATTTTTGTCACCTTGACACAATAGATTTTGTTTATTGATATTTTTATTTTGATCACATGTCACTGTTTACTCACAAAAGCCAGGTGAAAATCTACCTGAAGACAGATGTATGGAGTTGCCATGGTAAAATGAATTTGTATTCTCAATAAGAAAAAAAATATCATTTAAAAGCAGGTGGAGTGTTACGAGATTTGAGTCTCTATTATTAACATTTTCCTGACTTTTGCACATTTATTTAGAGATTAATAAATACTATTTAGATGTGAATAAATGTAAATGTTGATTGTATGAATATTCAATAATATTAATATTTGAACTTGTTGATTATGAATTCAGTGAAATCAACCATATACTTGAACATTTTCTTAATCCATTACTTTAATCATGTTAAGAATAAATCACACATTCTTTGTATTAACATTAATACAATAATCATATTTAGAGGTTTATATGTCAGATTATCCTCCTTCGATTGAGTGAGATGGTTGGAAATTTATCAATTAAGTTTTCAAAAAACTCAAAATTTGACACATGTTTTCTTCTGATCCCTGTGAGAAACTTGTTTTTATTATTAGTATATGGCCAATGGGGTTATGCAACATTTTTAAAATTCCATGATTATTGATGTCTTATAATTCATACATGAATTCAAAGGAGTTTGTCTTTTGTTTTTCTGGACTAGCTTTTTATGCATACTACATTGAAAAAAGGAGTTTTTGATCCTTTGCTATCTACAGATCCAAATATTTGTTTGTTATATGGATGTTTGTTTTTGTAAATGATTGATGATCTTAAAAAGCAAAAAGATCAAAAAGATTGGAAAAACAACAAAGATAAACTTCCTAATAAGAGCGAAGGATGTTTTGATAGCACAAAGACGGCAAACCTACTAATAATCGTAATCAACTCTTTGAACTTTAAACATAAAAAACTTGCCGTTTTGATTACTTTTTCAAGATTTCACGTAAAATGTCTCTATAACATAAGAATTGAAAAAATATATTGGACTGCAGAATCGAATACAAGTTTAACGACAATTAACTCATACACCTGTATATGTCAAATATTAGTTAATAGTCATTAAGCTACTTTTAATGTCAATCAGTATTCAAATACAATGATATCTCTATGAGATTAAAAAGTGAGTGATCTTTAAGTCACTATCACAACAGACAGAAATCAAAAGTCATGATTAATAAGTGTGATTCCATGATTGCCTAGATATTTTCCAGGTATATAATAATAATTTATAATCGGGTTCTGATTATTCACGACACCTTTCATGTGCATATCTTATTGTTTTGTTTCTACAATGGATTAATATGATTTCAAATATTATTTGTAGGTTGTAACAATAATGTATCTTGTATTCTTTCATGTTTCTGTATGTGATTGTTTTACGCCTTAAGAATTTCATGATTTTTTAGTTTTTTTTGTTTACTGAGTCAATACTGCTACTTTCAGGTAGATTTGCATCAAGTTTCTGATACCCCCCCCCCCCTTCAGTTTCAATTTCTTCAGATGTGTTATGTGTAAGAGAGAATGGGGGGGGGGCACCCTTTCTCCTTTCAGATTCCTGGATGTGCTTCATGTAAAGCATTGTGAAATGTGAATATTACATACTATATGAAAATAATAGCTTCATATTTGTTTATATATTTTCAGCATCCTATATGACTCCGGAGAAGAGATGGATGATATTGAATGCCCAAGTAGCAAGAAAATAGCACTTCGGGAAATCAACACCTCACGATACAATGAAGAATTCCATGAGATTTGCAAGCTTGGTGACGGAGAGTTCGGAAGTGTCTGCAAATGCGTGAATCGTCTGGATGGTTGTACTTACGCTATTAAAAAATCTAAAACTCCTGTTGCGGGAAGTGTTTATGAGTAAGTACAGCATTTATTGAAGTGTTATTAAGAGCTAAATGTTAGTTAGAAGTTTTGTGTTGGTGGTTTGAGGTGAACAAAATAGGTCTAAAATGACATAGGAATGTAAAACTAAAAAGATGAACGATTGTGTAAATATTAATAGCATTATATTGGAACTGAACTGAACAAAAACACCTATCCCCTTTTCCTCATCATAAAAATATGGTGAATAATGTTTGAATTTTTGTATTTATAGACGTACAGCAATGAATGAAGTCTACGCCCATGCAGTCCTTGGAAAACACCAACACGTTGTGCGATACTACTCCGCATGGTCAGAAAACGGTCACATGTACATTCAGAACGAGTTCTGCAATGGAGGCAGTCTTGCGGATTTGGTTGAGGAGAACAGGCAGCTGGGAAGAAACTACAGCGAGGCTGAGATCAAGCTACTTTTACTCCAACTGGCACAAGGGCTCAAATACATCCACTCACAAAACCTGGTCCATCTAGATATCAAACCTGGTAAGTGACACTTCTATCTGAAGTTGTAAATTATGTTTTTCATGCAATCGTGGGCCCCTTGTATGGTGCTGCCCTCTTTTGAACCTGTTGGAATTCAATTCTAAAAATAAAAATTAAAACTGATTAAATATCATTTATTTTATATTTTGGACAGTGAATACAATAAATATATGAGAAATAGGGGGTCAGATTTAACTGATTGACACAAGAATTACGATTACCCAGTGTACTATAAATAACTTCTTGACTTGTAGGTAACATATTCATCCAGCGTGACCCCAAGATACTGAACACACCCGAGAGTGGCATGGAGGAAGAAGAAACTGATGACGTCATTGATGAAGACGAAGAGCCACCTATAATTTACAAAATTGGTAAGTTTGAAGACAGATTTCATATTAAGAAAATTCTATTCATGAATAGAAATATTAGAACATATATTAGTCAACATCCTATACAATAACAAATTTTAAATGAAGAACCATTATTAAATTTAAACTTTAATTTTAGGTGACCTTGGTCATGTGACATCAATGGCCAATCCCAGTGTAGAAGAAGGTGACTGCCGCTATTTGCCAAATGAGATTCTCCAGGAAGATTTTGACCACCTCTCAAAAGCTGACATCTTCTCCCTGGCTCTTACAATTTATGAAGTGGTAAGCTTCGCCTCTTAGATATATTTAAAGAAATCAGTAAAGAATTCAGTGCAAAAAAATAGTTGAGGATTAACCAAAAACATTGGAATGAAAAAGAGGAAATTTAAATCTAAGATTGATTGAATGAAACTTGCTGGATATTGTGTTTTCATACTTGAAAGTTGTGTTTGATTAAGAAATGTGAAAATGCATCTAAATATTTATTACTTTATTTTCCAGGCAAGTGGTAGTGAACTTCCCAAGAATGGAGACAGCTGGCATGAAATCAGACAAGGAAAACTTCCCTACCTTACTCAGTATTCCGCCCACCTTAATGGCCTCCTTAAGGTAAGCATTGGTGTTACATGAACCATGGGGGTGTTTCACAAAATCATCTTGAATAAAGTTTGTCAATATTTGATTCTAAGATAAAACTATTGATGGTACAAGAAATTTTCTCATCTCATTCACTGATAATTAGTTTATCTCGGTGATGGATTACAGTTTAAACATTGTGTTTTGTGTGTTTATCTGCATTGTTTTTAATATTTTTATTTACTTTTACAGAGTATGATCCACCCAGACCCACGTGTACGCCCCAGTGGATCAGCCATTACCCAGCATCCGGTGCTCTACCCATTTGCACGAAAATCACGAGCTCAGCTACGACGTGAACTGAACGAGGAGAAATTCAAGAATGAGTTACTTGCAAGGTAAGAATAGTTCTAGAAACTAACATTATTTTTAAAGGGACTTAATCGAAAATCAGCATGAAAAAATGTGAGGAATAATGTACTTGTAATTCAAAACTTTCTCAAAAAATCAATTTTATTTACGATAAACTATTGTTCTACTTCGTATATTATTGTATGCTTTTGAATCAGCTTGTTTTTGGAATATAACTTCATGTCTGTGTTTGTTTACTTCACAAACCTACATTATGAATTCAATCACATGAAACTTAAATAAATATTAACTGGAACTTATTTTGTGTTTTCAGGCAGTTGAAAGAAGCAACTCAATCGAAACTGATACCCAATTTGAACAATAACATCGTAGAGAGCACACCAGCCAATAGGACGTCTCGATTAGTTGGCCGCAAGATCGCACGCAGCATGAGCATGACGAACTTCTAGAAAAATCACAACATAACTTACTCCTCTACTGCCACATACACAATGATCGATGAACATTATAATTGCCTTATATGACAAACTTTGGGGTTTGTCTCAAACACTGCTTATAGATGAACATTGTTGAATGAGGATTCATAACTCACATGCTACTTTGATTGAGGATCTAAGCCTCATACAAAGACAAACACTAGTGACAAATGGAATGTCAGATATGATAAATGCTGAATAGGAATGTTCTCCAAATATTGACTTAGTTCCTGAATTGAGATGCTCTATATGCCACTTTACACTTGAACGCTGAAAATTATGTATAACATGATATGAAGCAGAATGGCCAAAAATAAAATTGTCGCGGAAGTATTCCTCAGTAGTCCTAGAGACAAAATACGTCAAGACTTTATTTCATGGAATACTTAACTACTTTTGACATGCTGTTACTTTATATACTTATACCCTTCGGAGGTGGGTTTGAAGTCTGTGAAGTCTTTGTAATACTTACATTATAGTCTTAAACAAATACTACTCTTTGGAGGTGGGCTTGAATTACTTAATTTATATTTCATACTTATCGATAGTAGAAAAAGTGCATGTTCATATTGACTTAAAATGGTTTATACAACAATACTGATAATTTGTGCTTTTTTTGTAATCGACAATGATGTACAGTCAGTGGTATCATTATTTAACAGTGGATCTAATTTTGTAAATCTATTATTCTATTTTAGTGTAGTGTAGTAAGGAATACTACATCTATGTACTTAAAGTAAGATATTTTCAAAATCGCAATATTGTAATTCTGTGTTCGATCAAGATTTTGTATCTAAATGTGTTCACCATAATTTTGCAACAGCATTACAATTTCATGATTTACAATTAAATTTGTTCAACAATAAATAGTTTATGTATTTTACCTGTAATAGAGATTAGTACAATAAATAAGAGTACAATAATTATGCCAGAGTACAATAATTATGCCAGAGTACAATAACTGAGTCTATCAAAGCAGTTCCATAATCGCACAAAAATAATTGACTGTCAAAAAATGCAATGTTAACTGTCTATTTGAACTTGTAAAATCAATATTATAACTAAGAACTAAGGGCTATATATTCATAATGGAGAATGCATGCTGTAAACTGAGCCCAAAACATGGTTACTCTACAACCAGTGATTTTCAAAGATAGAACGCTGTCATATTACAAATGTCTTCTATATTTATAAAAACACAAGAGAAAAATATTCTTGATGCATTTTAACATTTCAAATTCCATTTTAGTGTTGTCATTGACTCATTTTCAAACTTTACGAAAAAGAAATAATTTTATAAACTGTATAGATCTTATATGAAGTAAAATGTACATTTATCATCTGCAAATATTCATACATATTACAATTTATTTTTATAATACTAAAAAATGTAACTTGCATGCATATACAGGAGGGCCAACCGTAATGTATAAGATAGTAAAGCATTCAAATAAAAACTAAAAAAACAACAATAGAATTTGACTATTTTGTTTGATTATGAAAATTGTCTTGTCGACGAATCCTGAAAATATTATTGTGTTTTGCATTGAAAACAAGGATAACCCAAAAATTAGTTGTAACTTCAAATACCACTTCTGTTACTGTTACCCATTCTGGAAAATGAAGTTCATCCTATATCTGATATGACAAAATATTTTCTTCCGAGGTTGCCCTTAAATGTCTTAAGGGAGATCAAGTGTTGAAAAAGTAAACATTCCCCTTTCAATACTATTATATATTCCTGATCTTTGTCGGGATTTTGAACTTCATCCAAAATTTTACACTACGCTGAGTCAAGAGGCAAGTTTTAAAGTTACGTCTGAGTAATGACACAGTTCAGAACCCCAGCCCTTTTTGCCGTTGGCTGTCACAGCCCAGATTAAACTAACTACCGGTATGCTGACATTTTCTTGATGTTGGTTGTCAATACTGGGTAAACAATGACTTCAGAGGAATTTAACCTTATATTGTTAGAAAATCATCTTTCTGGCGACAAACTTGGCTTGGCGAGATCAGCGGTGGCCCCACACTCTTATTACCCAGGGAGCATCTTTGTCTTTCCTTTGTTGCAACTTCAATTTGAATGTTTCACAAGTCTTGGAATGGATAATATGATCAAGGGTAAACAAAACAATAATCCGGGAACAATCCCACTTAGCTAAAACTCACTCATCATTCTATTCTAGATAATAGATGGCAGCAGCTCTTTGACACAAGTTTGGTGCTGCAAGCTCAGTACAGCCGGATGCTCAAGGTGTGAAATAAAGATGGCGGCCCCCATGAAAATGCGAACTCCTATGCAGTGTCTCGGTATAGACACTGCGGCGGGCAGATTATGAAATCCCCAAAATTTGGGGAAGATAGTCCCCCTTTTTGTCACAGATGTACTTGTTTTTCACACAACTTATAAAATATATGTTCTTTTATGTTCATCAATAATTATTTTGTCAAAATATTCCAAAATCAATGAAATATAAGAGCAAATCCACGCGGAAGGAATTCTGAGTAAAAGTTGTGTTGATAAAAGTTTACCGCACGTGTTGTTTATTAGTTAATACGCGCGATTGAACCAATGAAATTGTCTAAATTTTACAATCACGCGACCTGAGCATGGGACTAGAACCAATCACGGCATTTGTTTATTACGATGTTACCATGCTTACGGTGAGGCACCTGCCCGCCGCAGTGATATATCACTGCACGGGAGTTCGATGAAAATGTAAAAGGAGCTATTTTTAGGTAAGTATTAGCGTTATTTGAAGGAATTGACTCTATATTCTTTCATTTTATCGTATGATTACATATGGGCTGATAAAGTGTTCCAAGTAGAATGATGATTTTTACTTCGATCATGAGTTATGCGCGGTTCTTGCAAACTTTATCTTCAAATTTTGTGAATTTTCGCAGCTTCAAAAGTTTTCATAAAATGACCATGAAAAGAGTATAAAGAGGGAAAAACTTTTCAGGTATTTTGGTAAGATTTGGTATCCAATACTTAATACTGGTTTAAAATCAGATAAGGTTAGACTGATCATGTTTGACATTTTAGACAAGTCTATTGAAATCCCATGGCTTTACCCGTGTGTGAGCTCTCGTTAAAAAGCAATCGTGAGTTATTCCGATGTCCCTGGTGATATTTTGAGCTAAATTGAGGGGATATATGCTGATAAACAATTGGGGCAAAGAATTTACACAAATACTCTCCATAAAGGCGTCATTATCACGATTGTTTCTTCCATTGCTATGGCATTCGCCGGCCGTCCAATTTCTTGGAAGTTCATCGCCTATAAAATATCACGTGACTTGTACATTAAAGCTGTTTGGATGAGTAGCGTTGATTGACCTCTCTCTGTATATTCGGGCCATGTGGTCTCGGGGAAAAATGCTCGTTCTTGCGCAGCAATACCATGGTTCGACTCCCTGCTTATCTGAAATGATATTTTTTGTTGTGCTTTTATTCTGCACTGGAAATACAGTTATTAACAATTGTATTTTAATATATAGGCATTCATAATCTCACATTTGTATATTTCAGATTTTTTAGTTTTTTGTGCAATAAGCCTGAGCCGTCTTGTAATTTGAAGAATTTCAGCCATGTTAATCTTATTGAAAATAACATGGCAGAGAAACATCCAAATATAAGAGGCCACACACTTTATAAGCCAAACTAGAAGCAATCCAAGATATACAAATGTCATTCATGTACATTATGAATGTACATTATGAATATACTTTTCCATATATTATTGCACAATGGTCTCCCAATTTCTTATTTTTGCCGTTCTACTGACGAAATGAAGCAGTGAAATGGACTCTAGTTCTCCAATTTTTAAAAATAAAAATACATCCAAATATTGCGTTTTACATAAAGATCAGACTTTTAGGTTCAGCTGGAAAGTAACATTTTGATAAAAAATTGCTATACCTGCACATGTTAATTTCTGTTACACTACAAAGTATGAAGGCATATGTATATTTCCTCGCTTTTTTCAGGAAAGTATCATTACACTGTCTTCTTATATATCTGGTAAGAGGTCAATGGGAACTCCAGGACATTCTGATATTTCACTTTCTATTTTTCCGAATTTTCTTTCAAAGTTTCCAGACAACACAGGAGCTACCATTGACCTGTTTCCAGGTTTACTAAAAGTAAACAATGTAATGATACTTTCCTGAAAAAAGCAAGGAAATATACACATGCCTTCATATTTAATTTTGTACCAGAAATTAACATGTGCAGGTAGAGCAATTTTTTACCAAAATGTTACTTTCCAGCTGAACCTTAAAAGACTGACTGCCAACCACCGCCCAATCACTCTCCACAGTTGGGTACATGTGGTTGGCTGTTGGACTCTTATGTATAAAGATGAATAGATGCAAGATTTATTAGATATGGAAAATATACCAATGACTATAGTACAGTACACATGAAAAACATAACGTCATTGTGGTCTGTATTGTCATATTGTTGGTGGTCGGTGGTGTCTGTCTTTTTTGTAAACCCTGAGATATCATTTGGCAAAGTAACATTCTAAATACTGGTGGGTCAATGGCTGTTTTAATGTTGTATTTATGTCAAAATCTGATTTGTATGGGACTGGTTTGACTATAGGCAGAGTGTTGGTAGTTCCACTGTAATCTCATGCCCAGATAATTGTTAATTGGATTATTGACTTACTATGATTTCAGATTTCCCTAGAAACAGCAGTTCTGACTTCTGATTATCGGCAGCTCTCCTAACCTCACTCTAGTTAATTAACAATTTATTGACTTGACTTGTCATGGCGATACTAGGACCTCAGTTGGTCATCACTATGGTGATGGCCAGTTTTCTTCAGGTAAGTGTTGCCATTTTTCCCCTGATTTAGACAAAATGCAAAAACAAACTTTGCACAATATCAGTCAGTGCATATGCTTTTTTTATAAACAAAATAACTCTTTGAATTAATACACTAATTTGATATGATGTATACGCTTCATGTGCTGTAAAAATCTATTTTTCTTCAAAAATATAGCCCCTTCTGCCTCTAAGCAGGGAACTATTATAACTTGAAAACTCACCTAAAAGAACATTTATTTTTTGCAAACATCTTTACAAATCATGCCTTTTTTCTAAAAATTCCTAGGGTTCAGACTATATTGCAGAATCATCCTTTAATTTTAAGTGCCGGGGGAGGGGCTGGAAATAGTTATGGGCCTGACATGTAGACTTACATTCTGCAAATGGGTTCAAAAGTTACCAAATTATTCCCTCCATCCAGATATTAAGGCCTATGTAAATAATGAAAATATTATGTTATTTTTGTTTCAGAAATTGTTTCCGCTGTACTCCTTTGCACGCTGGCTTCTCAGCAAGAAGCTTGTAAGATATCTCCACCCAACTGATGACGAACTGAAAAAACTGGCTGGTATACCTGCTAACTCATATAAAGGGAAAGGACGGAAAAGAGAGAAAAACAAAGATTCTGAGCCATTTACTGTTCCCAAGAGCTTAGAGCTTGATTTGGATAAAGCTGAAGTGGTCGCATTGGACATGTTCCCACTACATTACTACAAAGACTATCAGTGGCTGATGGATTTCTCTCTTTGTGCGCTACTTGTTTACCTAATGGCCGAAGCATATTATTTCTTCCTACCTCAGACGGAATTTAACCTCAGTGCATTATGGGTACTACTCGGAATTGGATTTGCACTGAAAATCCTGGCTTCTTTAACGGGAATGTATTTTCGTACCGAAGAGAGTGGTGAAAGGATAATGTGTATTGCTTTCGGATTTTTCTTCCTCGTTATGGCTATGGGCGTCATGCTGGTTGATGAATCAAAATTGGAGTTTGGACTCGATGAAGCTTACAAAAATTTCTCGATTAATGCTGAAGAGTTTTTAAAACACCAGGGTATTGATTCGAGTGGTCCAGCATCAAAATACACTTTTAAGATAATAATTGCTTTCATAAGTGCAATTGTTGGAGCCTTGCTAACCTTTCCTGGATTACGATATGCAAAAATGCATGTTGACTCTTTGAGATATTCTAAGGGGTCTTATTTCAAGCAGATCATGCTGTATATTAATTTCACGTGGCCAATGTTGGTTGCCTTGATGTGGGTTAAGCCTATAATGCGTGATTTCATCTTCCTGGCTCGGCTACCTTCGGGAGAAGCCTTCATGACGAGTGAGACCTTCGAGACATTTCGTTTTGGAATCATAATAGGTGGCGCTTTTCTACGATTAACCCTCCTGACGACACATTTGCAATCTCATCTGAATTTAGCATACTTGAAGGTGGTGCTTTTACGGAAGGAAGCAGGAAGGATCAGTAGCTTAGAACTGCAGAGGATGATCTCAAGGGTGTTCTACTATCTCTGCGTAGTAGCTTTACAGTACATAGCGCCTGTAATATTAATCCTATTCAGTGCATTATTGATGAAATCTTTAGGACAAATGAATTTAGTTCGATCCACGAGTTATTTCAGCACTGCGATAAAATCAGAAACTGTTATTACAGACGCAGCTAAGGAAATGGTCTCTGAAAGTATTACAGAAACTGCTGAGAATTTCTCGATCGCTCTTGCTAATCTCAGAACCGTATTTACACCTCTTTGCTTCAAGGGACTATTTTCCTACGCCTGTTGGTGGATGTCGTTCTCCTGGTTCATTAGTAGCTCATTCGGACTCATTAATTATTCATACTTTACTGATTCTGCGTAAATTTGTCCAGTCAAGTTTTAATTCAATGTGTTTAAAGTAGCAAGGCTAAAGAATTAAGGTGGCTTCTCAGATTCCTCCTCATATTGCCCAAATTCTCATAATGGGGCCTTGTTTTGAGAAATTAGTTTTTCTGTGAGAGATTTTAGTAAACAATGACAAAAAATTGGTGTAAGTTGGACTATCTTTTGCAAATTTTCCCCTTCCATAAAAAGAAAACCCCTGCCTCCTTTCCCTTGAAAGCTGGCTACATCAGAACTCATCTAAAATTCAAAAGGGAAATGGCAAGGATTTTCCTTGTGAAAATCTTCAATTTCGAATCATAATCCAGGTGCTTCATACATTCATGTTGCTCAATTGATTGAATATTTATGAGTGATTAACCTTAATCTGTTGAAGTAGATTTGATTGTATTATTTTTTAATCTCTAAAGATCACTCTAGATAAGATTGAATGAAGTATGGAAGTGTTCAAATTAACATATTGTAAGAGGCCCTTAAAAGCTGGTCTTCACAGCACTTTTGACAGGTAAATGTAGATGTGTCTGTTTATTAAAAATGAGGTTTTGTTTATCAAAACGCTTATAGACAATATTAAAACAAACCTCATATCAACATACTGTAGTAATACAGATTTACATGTACTTGTATGAGAAACATTGTATTCTTCCAATGAGCTTATGGGTGCTATTATCAGTGTTATGTTATGTGTTTTTATTATGTATCTTGAAAAGATCTTGCTACATCAGAGGTTTCATTAGCAGCAGGCGATTTTCACCGATTGTTTTCACAAAAGCGCCTGTTGTTTTTAGGGACTTTTCAACTTTTCCATGTTAAATTTATGATTTTCATTAATTTTGCCTGTTGTTTTCATTTATTTAGTCTGAGAAATTCTAGTGAAACCCCTGTACATGAACAGTATGATAGCATTACCCCCTATAGAGAATCAGTTATAATGTTGCACCACAATGTGTGTTGGTAGTACCATGGACTTATATAGTTTGAGGTCTATGGTAGTAAATGGTAGTATGTGTGATGAGCTTCAATATAGGCCTATATGCATTTTAAAAAGTATTCACAGAATTAACACGACAAAATGTTACTGCTAGAAAACAATTGTTACAGATCCCAGACACCCGGAAATGTTGATTTGAAGTTAAAACAACATATTGTTTGTCTCCATGGTATGGTTGGTGTTTGGCACCAATGTTTGGCAGTTGGTGTCGGTAACAGTATTTGGTGGTCTGTGTCTGTAACAAATAGTATGTGGTGACATTTTGCATGTTAATGCCTGGTTATACTTTACAAGTGTTCTACGATCTATTTCTCAAAACTGACCCTGTGCTAAAGTTAAAATTGGGCAAGGACAGCAAAGATGCTTGATACAAGATTACTTTTGCCATAATAGCAAACCCCTGAAACTTCAGGTTTGGTGAGATAGTTCACTATACAGGGCCGTAGCCAGGATTTGCCAAGGGGGGGGGGGTTCAGTTTCAAAAATTTCCAGGGGGGTTCACATTTGACAATTTTGGTCCAAATATGGCTAAAATCACTTGAGAAATGGTCAAAAATTGCATGATTTTGAAATAATTTTTCATCCGAACCCTGTGAACCCCCCCTGGCTACGGGCCTGCTATAGTAAAGGAATTGTGGGATTGAGTTTATTTATAATGAGTGAGATCATATGTTTGAATGTGTTCTAGTGTGCATGCTTTAGTGACTTAGTTGAATTATTCAAAATGTATATCTGAAATTGTGATACTTTCTAATTTAATCATATCCGTCAGCCTCAGGATAGAGGATCACATACCCTCTAGATGAGGGAATCTAATGTTAACCATACTTGATTTGTGACATTGAGATTATTTATGCACTCGTTTTAACCTCTTGTAACCTCTTGGATACCAGAGCATTTGAATTCTTCAATAGTTTTTGCCATTCTTAATACATGTTTAACATGTACTCTATATATGTACATATGTATAAGTTAATTATTGTGATATCATTAATGATAGATCAGTGGCAAACATTTTAATACATAATTTGTGTATCTAACATTTACAAAAGATAGAGCCATAATAATTCTGTGACTGATCTGTCACTTTGGATGTTCAAGAGGTTAAACACATGTGTAAAGTGTATACACATGTTAGTAGAATAATTACATCAATCAGGTACTGTACCAAGTACTGAGTTAGTAATATTTAATGAAATAATGCAATAAAACATTTGATAAATTTTTAAAATAAATAATTTATTTCTCTGTTAATTTATTCAAGCCTGAGGTGGCTGCAACGTACAATAACACATTACATAGTGTATCATACTAAATTCCATGGTTACTTTTTCAATGATCTATCTCTTATCCATTGTCGATTCCACAAACAATTTAATGCATGTACAAATGGCCGATTAACAATATTTTCCTAAAAATTATAAACTTTTTTTGATCAAATTACTGTTGTGTAGGCTTTTTATGTAACTGGTAAATGCACATCAGACAGGACAAGCTGGCAGTAGGGGGTCTTTTTTATTGTTTGGACATTTTGGTTTGCCATAGAGCATGATGCTGCCCATGATAATGCAAAACCAGAGAACCTAAAATGATTCCCCTCTCGAGAACATGTTAAAAGAATGACTCTTAAATATAACAAGAATTGTTTTGGAAGCATCCCATAGGCAACACCCTCTTTGAGGTATTCCTATTCTGACTTTGACTGGCATGACTGGCCCATAATGAGATCAATTGCTGATGCACTGACAATTTACAGAATCAGATTTAAAAAACAGGTTTTCAAAACAACTGGTACTGTATACACTATAGTGTACATCATGCTGTATATCATAGATTTGTCTCACACTTATGTAACATTGATATTTTTGGAAGACTGGAATTCTGGCATTTAGAGAGATGTATTTAAATGGAGCCTATGTTGCTAAGAGACTGGTTCAAACAAGCATTCATTTCTCTTTCACATGTTATCAGGTACCCTGCATGCATAGTCTAGTCATAGTCTAACTACACACGGAGCTCTCTTTTAAGAAGTGAAATAGTCGAACGAATGCAAAGGGTAGTTATCAGGGAGGTAAAGCTACACATTTTTAGAGAACTTGTACATTAACACACACTATTCTGAAACCAGCCATTATACTGTTCAATTTTCAAAATGTTTTTTTTCAACAAACTTATTCCCAGCTTATTTCCTGAATCCATTATACTCAACAAGGCAAGTTAATACCATGATGTGGAGAATTAATCACTAGAGAACTGTAATAAAATAATGGTATATATTCAGGAACAAATCCCTTTAAAATGTGGAGCTGAGTCTCCCTACTAGTGGACAGCGGGGAAATGAGTTTTTTGAAAAGAAAGGAATAGAAAGTATGCCAATTTGTAACATTGACATCATTGTCTCAATCAAGAGCACCATTCTGGTGGTTTTTCTGGAATGACATGTGGACTCTCCTCCCTTATAATTTGGCCATGCACAACTTCAATAGTTAAAATCATTCACCTTTTCCATTCTACCACCATTGTACACATACACAAACATGCAGTGTTCTCCACAGGATTTTTCTCAAGTGGGTGCAAAATTTTCATTTTCACAATTCAGACCAAAATTGGTCAAAATATTTTAATTTTTTTCCTTTTCCATTGAGTGCAAATGGATATTCAGGTGGGTGCAAGCCTGTTTATAAAATCTCAGGTGAATGCTGTGCCCACTTGCTTTAATGCTTGGGAGATCACTAACATGTATCTATAAATTAATATTAATTATTTTTTACTCTATACATTCACAATCCCGGTGCTAGCAGAAGTCCCTAAAATCTGATGTTTTTTACTGCACGCTATATTCTCTATAAAGTTTTCACGTTTTGAAATAACATGTTGTTTAAAGTTTTCCAAACGTTTCTCTCTATCTGCCTTATATTGTAGCAATTGTTCTTCAAGATTGGTTACTGGGGGTTTAGATGTTGTGTGGCCCCCTGTTAGGTTAAGTTCTTGCATGAGACATTCTAAGTCAGATTCCCTTTGTAATCTTTCTTGGTCTAGTTGATAATCTGTATAAGCATCCTGGAATTTAAAACATTTGTTTAAAACCAACATTCATAAATTAATAACATGTAATATGAGTTAAAAACTGGAACTTTGAATTTGAAAGGTTGAAATTAAATGATTAAAATACAGTTAAATGTTGGAGAATAGTTAACAAAACCAAGATATATCAGAAGAATACATCAGTTTTAATAAAAACATGTTGGAAAATGGTATATCAAATGAATAGCTCTCATGGGTACTAGGATCTCACATAAACTAGTAGTTAGATTCATTAAAACTGATCTTATATTTGCAAAAAATGTTAAAGATTTAAATTGAAATAATTCATAATCTAAAGATGTATATAGCACAAAAAGGCCTTCAACTGGAAAATGAAAACCTTGACATGTTGAACTAACCGCAATTCCTTTATGATGTTTCTGGTAATGTAGAACTCCTGCATACATGTGCCATACACTAAACTCAGGCCATAACACCTCCACAAATGACAACACAGAATAGGAACTCTGAAATAAAAACAGTAATAAGGTTTTTGTAAAAGCCTCATCTTTTGTACTTAATTTCCGATGATCAATTAAAAGCAGGATTTAGTACTTATTTTGAGAAATTATGATAAGGCCTCGTTGTATTTTTTTTTTTTTACAAAATTCAACTTTTTATGATCCATATGTATTTTAAATATAAAATGTATACAACAAAATTTTGTGCCAATTTCCACCTTCCAAGAATATATGTGCATTCTTAATTATAGAACATTTACAATAACATCTGGTTTTTTGTACTTAACTTCACTAACCCTCGCCATCCCTCCCACCCCTTCTCTTGTGTATTCTTTTTTGTCCTCTTTATTACTGGACAAAACATATCGCTCAGTTTATCAGATTCTTAATATTATAATCAAACACAGTTTTGATTCTTTTGACTCGATTGATATTTATTTCTGACATAGCCGCTGTTTACAGCTTCCATCTATCAACCCCTCATTATGTATGTTTGTATTCAATGGGTCTCTACTCAGATGTGACAAGCAAAACATGAACATTTGTATGGTTGAATGCAAAGACAAGTCCCCAACTGCACTTTAACAGGTATGACAACACACAACTTTTATTGTAAAAAATTTGCTGGGAATATACACTTTTTTTAAGTGTCACCCACTCATGCTTTGTATAATTGTGTGAATTTAAAAATACATAAACATAATCTCCCCTTTTTACTTCATGTGTATTTCAAACTTTAAAATGATATATTTCAATTTTGTATTACCTGCCATAACATGAAGTCACTGAGCCGTACCTCTCCAGAGGTTCTGACTAACATATCTAACTTTCTGGATTTATTGGTGTAGAAGCAGTTCTCAAGCACTCTCTCTGTTATATCACTGCAATAAATATACATGTACCATGAAAAGTACAATGGATTATCACTAACAGTATCACTCAATTAATTTTTCGCAATTTTCTACAAGAAATTTATAGATTCAATGGATGAAAAAAGTTAGGGAACAGTTATAACTGTTCAGTGAAGAACTTTTTTTAATGACAACATTTTTGCTGTGATCTTTATGAAATATTCCCCAAAATAAATAATAATCTTTATTAATTCTACAGTTAACCTCTTGGCTACCAGGAGTGACGAGATTTCTCGTCACCTAAGAAACGACCTTTAAACCCGGAGTGACAAGAAAATCTGTCAGAAATATTTCACTAAAATTGCTCTTTGTTGAAAAATGTTCATCCAATTTACACAAAAATTGTTTTAAAACGTGAAGGAATGATCTCTAATCTAATCTAATCTCTAATCTAATTTTACTAAAAGGAGCATCAACTGTTGCATGTGAATGTAATAAAATGTCAAAAGCTGGCAAAAAAAGCTGGCAGACTTTTCAGTCTAAATAAGAAACAACATCCAAATTAGGGCAACATACTTAAAACATAAATACCAACCTATCTTTTATGATCCCTAGCTCTACTCCTTCTGCACATTCCCTCATTGCATTACAGATCTCATCTCTAGATGTATAGGCGAGACAGACATTGAGGATAGCTCTGGAAATACAGAAAATGTCTATACGTGAAACACAGGAGAAAGGATCTTTACACTATGTACACTTCATTATTTGTAATATAACTTGTAATTTACCTTTTTGAGGTTCTTGTGGTATTGTGATATCGTGGTATTTTTACAATTAAATATACCATTGAATTTAATGCAAAGAGCTTGAGAAAATAGAAACTTATTCATTAAAATGATGAGAAAAAAATAATTCATAAGGAATGTCAAAAAAATGTAACCTCCTAAAGTACATTTTTAATCTATTGGCAGTAAATGACAGATTAGCGATATTCAAACATTTTTCCATCTAGAAATATTATGCCTATAAACCATTGGTTTTTGTATATTTGAGTCAATCTGAACGTATTCATCAATTATACTAACTTTTTATTGTTTCTAGATATGTAGACAGCCTCAGCCACGACCTCTTGTACATCTGAAGGCAGCATGGTGATATCTCCTATCACTCTGACACAAACATCATGTTTTTCTATCAACTCCCTGCAAAAGAGAAGAAAATAGAGGTCATGTAATTTTCAGAAAATTGATTTAACATGGGGATATCATCATATATTGATATCTGATGATATCCCCATGGTAGGTCAATGGAGCTAAAAACAAAATATCTGAGCCATCTGCAATGTTGTGTGATGCTCAAAAAATTAAGAAACGCTCGATGATGATATTATTACAAATATTAACTAATTTGATTCATTGATTTTGAACAGTGTTTAACTAGACAAAAGCAACGCCAAAGCGTTACAAATCCCATCGAACAGACATGGCTGGCATTTTTACAAACAAAGTATATAGCAAAATAGCAGCCATTTTCAAAATGGCCACTTTCTACCAAAAGTGTCATTAAACAGTGTGCCATGTTTATAGTATTCACATACCAAATATGAAGAAAATCGCTCCACTACTTTTCGATGTACAGCAAATATTCTAAAATAACGAGTAAAGGCCGCCATTTTTCAAGATGGCTGCCATGTGCTTTTTAATATCTACATTTATAGCTTTATTACTGTCCTAAATAATTTTTTTACATTTAAAACATGTTGCTATTACTATTTTACATATTGCACCTAAATTACTGTAAAATCTGCACTAAAATGGCCAACATTTCAAATGAGTGGCCATTTTGAAAATCGGCTTTCGAGTAGAACTTGTACCCCCATAGGGTATATGTGTACACAATATGAACAAAATCGGGCCAACAGTATTTGAGTAATTGCCTGGACGGACGGACGGACTGACTAACGGATGGAGGGACAGACAGAGGGCTTCACTATATACCGATAATAACACATACTTCATGTTGACTCAATATCTTATAAAATATAAACATATGCATGAAGGATATTGGTTTGTGCGCTGATATGAGCTGATTAAAGGAAGATGATCCTCAGTGCAAACAGTTTTTTTCTTGAGGTGAACATTAGACACTATAGACAGGATGTCCTCCATAAAATACTTACCTTTCTTGTAAAAGTCTGGTAAACTTTTGTTTGGCCAATTCCATTAAACCTTCTACTTCTTCTTTGGAACGTTTGAAGTTTTCAATGCTGAAGGCATAAACAGTAACCTCAGTGATTCCTAACCTTAAACACCAATCTAGCGTCTGAAATACAAAGCAAGTAATTAACAAATAATACAAATATTTTTGTAGATGTGATTTGTCATGAAAATTTTACAAGGGCCGATCAAAAAGTTTCTCAACGTTGGCTCTAGATTTTATAATAAAAGGAGTTGGATACTCAAACGTTTACATAAGACAGGGTAGTAAGTTTGCTTGAGACTGTCTGAGTTTCATTTAAATTGGTTCATTGGTAGTGACACAGAGTCAATACATATCTTCAATGATTGAATTAGGTGGAGCAGCGTTTTTTATCAAAAAAATTGTGCTAAGCTGCAGTTTTGGAAATTTCTAACACCAAGTAGTGTCATCTATCAACAGACTGTAGTTTAATCATGTTTAATTAGTTTTTCTGCTAATATTCATTCTCATTCAAAATATTCAACCCCAGTTGCAATGCACTTCCTATATCTGTCTACTCAATCCAAAAACACATGTTTAAGGCCTTCGTACGAGAGGTTTGAAACAATGTTGGTAAATTTCAAAAACGCTGCTCAACCTAACTTTGTCATTGAAAATATGAATTGACTGTGTCACTACCAATAAACCAATGTATATGAAACTTGTACAGTTTCAAGCAAACTAACTATCCTGTCTCATGTTAAAGTTTGAGCTTCCAACTCCTCTTATTGAGAGCCAACGGTAAGAAACTTTTTGATCGGCCCTTGTACAAGTGCTCTCAAATATTGGAGTAAATCCTAATACAATTTCAGAATTTCTGTTTTCTGCAAATTCTGTACAATGTTGAATGTTAAACATTATAAACAATAACACTCTTTTCCATCTTGTTTTCAAATGTAAAACATTGCAACCATCAAAACAAGTTTTACCAACCATATACTATACCTCAGCAAGTTTATCAAATCCTTTAACATGTCCCTCTGCTCTTTCTATATGTTGCTTCTTGGCAAACCTTCTATTGCCATCCATAATAAATGCTACATGTCTGGGTACAGGACCTGCTTTGAGGACACGCTGACACAACCTATGGTACCAAGTGTCTATCTTGCTCTTTTCTCCTAGCACAGACATCTTACTGGAAATAGAAATGACAATTCTAAATAAGGTAATGCTACATGTCTGGGTACAGGGCCTGCTTTGAGGACACGTTGTCACAACCTATGGTACCAAGTGTCTATTTTGCTCTTTTCTCCTAGCACAGACATCTTACTGGAAATAGAAATGACAGTTCTAAATAAGGTGATGCTACATGTCTGGGTATAGGGCCTGCTTTGAGGACACGTTGACACAACCTATTACCCTGCATGCAGAGTCTAGTTAAACTACACTCTGCCTAGTAGAGACCATATTACAATTTAGTAGCCCCGCCCCCACTACGGGTACCGGTGGCAGTTTTGGTAATAAATCATTTTTGACCTACGCGCTGACCTTTCTTCCACCAATCAGCGAGCTTGAAGAAACATACGCCAAATGCGTTCTAATTAAATATGCGCATGTCATTGGTCAATTCCGGGCCCAACAATGACGTCAGAAGGAATGACCATATATAGAACGTCGGTCAAATTTGGCCGACGAACACTGATTGGCGCGGTGAATTCACAGGTTTATTTTGGTTTGAAAGAGTGAAGACGAAGCTCTCTTTTAAGAAGTGAAGTCAAACGAATGCAAAGGGTAACAACCTATGGTACCATGTGTCTATCTTGCTCTTTTCTCCAAGCACAGACATCTTACTGGAAATAGAAATGACAGTTCTAAATAAGGTAATACTACATATCTGGATATAGGACCTGCTTTGAGGACACGTTGACACAACCTGTGGTACCAAGTGTCTATTTTGCTCTTTTTTCCCAGCACAGACATCTTACTGGAAATAGAAATGACAATTCTAAATAAGGTAATGCTACATGTCTGGGTATAGGACCTGCTTTGAGGACACGTTGACACAATCGGTGGTACCAAGTGTCTATTTTGCTCTTTTCTCCTAGCACTGACATCTTACTGGAAATAGAAATGACAATGCTAAATAAGGTAATGCTACATGTCTGGGTATAGGATTGAAATCTGGTATTCAAGTAATCAAAGTTTGTTTCCCAAAAAGCGGCAGCCATTTTAAATTCAGCAGCCATCTTGAAAACTCTTTTTTGACAGGTATTGTTTGTTATTAGGCATCAGCCTATACAATTTGAGCCAAATCCAACAATCAGTATCACATTTTTTACAAAACGGATGGACAAATTGCTTTTCTATATCCCTCACAAACTATGTTTGCTGGGATAACTATGATTGCAACTATCCAGTATCCATTTATCAAAAATGATAAAAATTAATGGTGATAATACCTTCGCCCACATTTGTATACCGTAGCATGGGAGAACAAGACAATTTATAGTTTCAGCCTTTAGTTTAGGGAAACTTTAGGAAAATGAACAACCTTGAATTAGTGACAACTGAAGCAGGCTATTCGTCAAGTGTGAAACAAACAACATCTTTACGCCTAATATGATAGCTTACACGCTCTACCAAGTTCAAATACATGAAATCTTTATTTAAGTTAACATTTGACATAATAAAAAATGACAGCTATAAAATGTTATTTATTATCTAACATTGGTCTGATTTTCTGTTAAGTATGCATATGAATATCATGTAAAGTACAAGTACTTGGAAGTTGGATGGAGAAGAAAGGATCATGAATTTGTCTTACTGTAACACATTCATTTTATGCATTTTCTTAATCAGATTTGTGAATGTTATTGATTCAGCAAAATGCAAATCATGCATAAGAGAAAGGCCAGTAGATGGGATCCCAACTAATTCAACAAGAGAGAGGACATTATCATTTCTAGCAGAAGGAGAACCTTCAGCTTTATTTACCACTTCTGAAAATTTTCACAAAACTTGGAAATTATATGGTGTCAATTCCAGAAGAAAAATCATCAGAAAAGGTGAGTTGAGGACTTGAGGTCATATTATCTCTGCTGTGACCTTCAATTTAGGATGCTCCAGGGTCAAGGTCATTATATCAATGTGCTCCTCTAAATTATCCCAGTGAACAAACTCTTTTGGGGCTGGGGATATGGATAATGCCTCCGTCTATCCAAAGCCTTCTGCACTTTCTTCTAGCTTAATAGTATTTGGACAATAATTCAAATACATATACTGGAGTGTACATTAACAAACATTCAATTTCAGGAAGAGAATTTGTTGAATTTGTGAAAGAAAGATTTGGTGTTGATGTAAGCGCAATAACAGATGAGCAATTGTATCTGGGCCGACCTGTAGAGATAGGAGATTACGCAGTATCAGGGTTTGTATTGAAAAATAACCTGAGAGTAGTCACTGAAAATACACCACACCATCGTGTGAAATACTACAAGAACAGCCATGTAAGAGAAGTTGGATTTATCTCAACTGCCAAAAGATCTATGGTCTCAACAGGTAAACCATATCACATTTCTTAATTCTACCAAGTTGGAAGTTGGGTAGCTCCTGAAAATTTAAGATTTTTTTATATTCTATGTTACAAGTTGTAAAAAAGTTTAAAAGTTGGTCAATTTGAAGCAAGTTGAAAAAATACCCTTTTTACCTTGAGAAGGTCATTGAAGGTAAAACCTCAAATCTAAAGTCAGATTTTAACTTCTGATAACTTGTAGATGATTTTGAAAAAAGAATTGGTCAATTTGAAGCAAGTTGAAAAAAGACCTTTTTGACCTTGTGAAGGTCATTGAATGTCAAATCTCAAATCAGATTTGAACTTCTGACAACTTGTAGATGATTTTGAAAAAATAGGGTCAATTTGAAGCAAGTTGAAAAAAAACCATTTTGACCTTTTTTGACCTTGAGAAGGTCATTGAAGGTCAAATCTCGAGTCAGATTTGAACTTCTGATAACTTGTAGATGATTTGAAAAAAAAATTGATCAATTTGAAGCAAGTTGTAAAAAGACCTGTTTAACCTTTTCTTACCTTGAAAAGGTCATTAAAGGTCAAATCTTAAATATTTAGGCAGATTTAAATTTCTGGAAACATGTACACTGTAGATGATTTTGAAAAGATGTGAAGTCAGTCTAAACAGTATTTGTTAAGTTATTGGAAGCTGTGAAAATTTGTTACAGACGCCGATCGCCAACCGCCGTCAAAAAAAAGGAGACCATAACAACATGTCACCACTTTTTGGTGGTGACATAAAAAGGATGTAAAAGTTTGACCCTCAAAGTGCGGAAGTAAACTTAACAGATTTTTTAACCTATTTGTTGAAGAGGTCAACTGGGTTTTTACGCTCCTGAATTGAAAGGTTAACCATGGAAGGGTTTCTGTGTTCTATTACGAAACCTGACTTGTCCCATTTCGGACAATCCTGAAAACGTTCTCCTCTATCAACTTTCACAGTTCTAAAAGGTGATGAGTAACATTGAGTATCAGAATGAAAAGTGAGATAGCTATGGGTGTCCAATTATAGTCATTTAAATGTTGATTTGTCTTTCACTTGTATATTAAAAAAATCATCACAAAATCAAAAATCAACATCAATTCGCTATTGAAACCTTATTTACCCCTCTCCCTCAACAAAACTAACTCCATTTCACAATTGTAAATAACTGGACATTGTCACTATTCCCAGTGATCTCCCCAGCATTAAGCCCACCTGAGATTTTGAAAATAGTCATGCACCCACCTGAAAATCCATTTGCACCCACTCAAAAATAAGAAAAATCATAAAAAATGGCATATTTTGACCAATTTTGGTCTGAATTGTGAAAATGAGAATTTTGCACCCACTTGAGACTGTGAGAAAAAATACTGGGAAGATCACTGATTCCCTAAGAGAACCATAGTATACAGAGAATCCTGACATTGGCCAGATGCCTGGAAATTGTGCTGAACTTGTTGAGATAATTTTTTTTAAATGTAGGTCAATGGAATGGGACAATACCAAAAGGTGGATCAGTATTCATAGTCCACTTACTTCTATCTAACAATGAATGTGACTTCACAGAAGAGCCTGATATCATTGAAGCTCATCCATTGGAGCCATTCTATGTTGTGGATGGTTTTGTTACCTTTGGGGCAGAAATATTATCTAACAAATATGGACATGGGACATTACGTGGTCTAGAAATGGTATTTTCAACATCGTATACTGTTACTATGGCAATGCATTTTACAGATTTGGTATAACTATAGAGTAAGACTATAATATTTGAATGTAAGTTATAGTATGATATATGATGTAATGCTTGAATATTTAAGAATAAATTATTGAAGCAAAAGTATAAAGAGTTAGTATCTGTTAATTTACGATATTGATGGACATCCCTTTGCAGGGCTCAACTTGCTTCAAATCAACCTGAAGTTTTTCACTCACATACATTTTTATTCACTTACATGTTAGACAGATCGAGACCACCTAAAAATGGTTCCAGCCTTAACATCATTTGTTCTACTTGGAATGAAATGAAAGGAGATGGATGGATGGATCATGTGTCCCAGTATTGAACATTTTGGAATTGAAAGCGAGTGACTGATGTCAGTATCTCAGACAGTTTTAGCTTTATGACTCTGTCTAGTGACTTACAAAATACAAATACAATGTTCTTCCCATGCTGTAGACATATCTTTTACATAGGCACCAGAACAGATCCTAAGAGTAGTCCTGAGAACAAATTCTTTTCAGTCAATTCCACTTATTACCATGTACTATCTGTTCTTTTCCAGAAATTATATGAGATATATCATCGCATAAAATAATGGTGAATCATAGTCCAAGACCTTGGAACCAGCTACTGGCAAAAGATTGAAAAATAGTGTCCTCATCTCAGTATATGGTACCCGTCATGTCATTCTCTGATACATGTCATCTCAATTTGAGAGCTGTCATTTTATTTACTGTTCACCATCAACTCAGTTTCGTACCTGTCAATTCAGTCTTCCATACGGTGTATCTGTCATCTCAATTATCTAATCTTCTTCTTCTTTATCCAATTTACCAAATCAAATGCTATCAGTTCAATTGCACATATCTGTTCGATTCGATAGTGTAGATGTTGCCCATGGTCTGATTTGGTTTAGATCTAATCGTCAAAGCCAAATAAGTGCAGGCTGTATACAGTACAGGGGGGTTATGAATAAATAAATTTTCCAAATGATCAGTTTAGTGACATTTTCAAGACATTAGGCAAACCAGTTGCAGGGTTTTTATGATTTTATTTTTGATATGATTTTGTTGAGTTTGAAAAAAAATTGCATCACATATTTGAGAAAAAAGTACAACAATACTGTAGATCTGATTGAATTGACAATATGTGGATATAGACCCTCGGTATTGATTAAAAACATATGGTAATATAAGGCACGTACTTACATATTAGCCGTAGATATCTACTTTATTACTGATTCAATTTTTTGCCGGATCCACATTGAATTCGCCCATATTGTATACGTCACGAGCACTTGTTTTGACCTTCTGACCTCATAGATTACTCCGCGCTTAAAACCACATTATAAAAAGTATAAAATAGGAGTTGGTGGATTCTATTTTTATGACAAATTATCGAATCAATGATAAAAAATTAAAATAATGATAATATTATTTACTTGATATATTGCTACTATTTAATTCTTAGTATGATAGATCGCACTATTTTTTATCTCGCATGAAACGTTCTACTGCGTCATTTGGTCGACACTCTAATGAAGATTGAACTGAAAATCTTTATAAATTCCGACGACATTTTCTCACCCGTATCACATAAACTTTGAATTTTGAAGGTAGACTCGACTAGACGAGTATGTCAGGAAATAGTGGTGGCCCATCGAGTGGCTCTAGAGTTGAGGAAGGTGGGTCAAATTTACGATTTTCTACCCTTTTATTTGAAACACTGGTACGATTTCAAAAGAACTCAACAATATTTTTGTTTCCTTTTTCAGAACTTTACTTTCTAATTGCTCGGTTCCTGGACAGAGGACCGTGTAGAAAGGCAGCAGAGGTGAGTTATGTTCTTATCATCGATTTATCTTGTGAATTTTAACCCGATCTGACGTGTTCTTCTGTCATTTTCAGGCGCTGAGGCGAGAGGTAGAAGAAAATCAGGTAAAAATTTTTGGTGTTTTATTTTCACTTCTCTTCCCACGTGTAGTTTGTTTTGATTGAATTATCGTAGTTTCACATATAATTTTGACAGTTTTCTATATTAAGTCAAATTTCCATGTCGATCTGACGCTTATTTCTGCCATAATATATGTCTGAATGAGTCACCTCTTTGTGATGGTTTTTTCCAGCTTTTACCCAAAAGATTGGACTGGGAGGGACAGAATCATCAAAGAAGTTTTGAAAACTTGGTAAGATTATTTTGATCACTTTGAAACACATCATTTTGGAGTTGAAGATAGAATTTTGTAAAAATCACTAAAAATTGCCATATTTTTCATTTTGGCACAAAAGTAATAGATTTGTGTCACGGTTCTAATGGGCCTATTGTCTCGTATCAATTGTTATTATCTTTTAAGATATTAGGAAAAATATGAAAGAATTTAATGACTGTTACTGAAGAATTATCTAGGCACTTCACTTGCAACAGCATCACCTCTATGCAGCTTAGCAATTCCAACCAATCAGATTGCAGGAAAATCAATAGCTATCAAAGGGCCTTGCTTTTATGCAGTGCAATTGATTATATTTAGCTGCAATATGATTGGTTAACCCGCAATCTTTTGAATAATTTATGTTAAGTAGTTTGAACTCCTGCCAAGGCAATGTAACCTGCGAACAGCTGAATAAGGCAAAAACTTATACTGTGTACTTCACTTATGTATCTTTGCTACCATTCGCTTAGTACAAAGTTTAATCAAAACTAAATGTTAAAACATCTTGACTTTATTGTGACATTTCAATGTTTTAGTTTACCTTTAAATATCAACTTAAAAACATAAATTAAGTGTACACTATTTCGTAGCAGAAAACAAAATATTTTTACTGCATGGAATGGTGAAGATACTATTATATTGTATGCAAGTTTTTCATTAATTGTCTTTTTTTACTTAATTTATCCTCAAAATAACCTTTTGGCAAAATTTTCCTATTTTTGAAAAAATCTTCAAAAGAAACATGCCAGTAGGCATTGTTCATCAAGTGAAGGGACAAATATAAGAATCAAAATAAAGGTGTGGGTCAAAAGGGCTTGAAGGAAGATTATTCTGCTTATTCTGTCTATTCCACATACATCATACATTTTTACCAGATTCTTGTTAGATGTATTTGTAACAAACTTTGAAAAATTTACTAAACACAAATAGGTGTGTCTTTAGTAGTCACTCGTCCTTCACTTTTCTGCTATACTGCATAATTATAGCCTCTAATAATTTTGGATGTTGACTTTTCGCAAATTTTAATTTAAAATGTGAAATAACAAATGTGTATGATAAAAAATATTTGTCAAATTAAACTGTGTGGTCACACATACCATATGTAGAAACCCCTTGGCAAAATTCATAAAATTTTGGAATTGTCTGATGTAAATCATTTCCCCTGGCTCCTATTAATTTTTGAAAATAGTCATTGCAACAATATAAGGCAATGTAAGTGCAATCAAAGATTGAACTTGTTGTTACAAAAGTTTGCTACGAATAAGTTGCCTAGAAATTGCAATTTAGTCAACAACTTTTAATTGTGGAATCTAATTTTGAATTTAATCTACCCTCCTTTATTATATAGGTCATCTAAGGTGACAGTGTCATATCTAAACTTTTGGAAATCTATCAAAATGTTTTGAAACTGTCATTCCAGATTGAGGCCAATCGCCATATCTCCCAAGATCATTTATTGCAAATAGTTAAAAGGGTAGGACCTCTACTGGATAAAGAAATACCACCATGCGTGAGTGGAGTAGCTTCCCTGCTGGGTGCTGGCAGACAATCTCTGCTTAGAACAGAAGAAGGTAGGCACTCTCAAATTGTTTTATTATGTCCCCACCACATAGTGTGGGGCCATATTGTCGGCCTAGGCGCGTCCGTCTGTCCGTCCGTACGTCCGTCCGCACGTACGAGAGCATGGATGTGGGGCCATTCGTCAGTACCAATGATAATTATGGGTTCAAAATCCTGTTGTGGGGTCGGCCTCACAACGGGATCTTATTTTGTCCCATATAATACACCACAAAAATATTTTTGACATCTGAGTTATGACCCCACAGGCTATAGACATTAATTTTTAAGCAGAGTCCATGGTCCAATTTTGGACATTTCTAGACAGTCCTGCCCTCTATTTGAAAAGCATTTTCCCGGGCTTTTTACCGAATCACCGCTAATAATAATGCGCGCTGCAAGAAGTGCACTCTGCCCGCTATGCAAACCGAACCCTGTCAGACGAATTTTAATGATTCTGACATGTAAATTGTATGACAGCATTACATTTCAAATTCATAAAACGTCATCTGGCAGAGCTTCGGTTAGTGCAAACGTCGAGCGCGGAAGAATATATTAATCTTGCGGCAGCAGGGTCACTGTGATAAGGTCACATGACTTACAAAATGGCGGACGTTGGTGATATGAAAATGATAAAAATAAGGCGTATAATATTAATTATGCACTCTATAGTTGATCTCTGGACAAAGAAATCGAAATAATAATATTTAGAGTATATTAGTCTCAGATTAAATTAGTTTCAGCGAAAATAGTTACTATGTGACCCAGTGACCTTTGATTGAATTATATGAAACCATGGAAAAAATGGCGGGTAACGGCGAAAGGTAAATTTTTCTTCATAATTATTAGTAATTAGCGATGTGTAAAGATGATAACACACTCATACTTGCATACTACGAACCTGAATGTTTGAAGAATATATCTGACTAATGGTAGATTTATTATTTTATACAGATAGCCTAAGTGATAAGCTACGAGGGTTATGAATTTCTAGCAAGGGCCTTTAGACACGTGTTTCTCCAGACTTAGCCTCTAGGCTTGAATTGGCGTAGGTTAGCCTCTATGACTAATGTTCCAATGTAAAAAGCACATGCTTAAATATTATTCAGGTTTTTATTCTCAATGACCACTATGAGAGCAAGTCATCCCTTTCATTTAGACTCCGTGGTAGATCTACAGTGCCCAGTCTAGGCTACCCCATGAATTGAAAGACTTGTTTTTCACGATCTTTTCTTATTTCCACTAGCCTAGAGACCATAATATTATATATCGATCTAATACATTAAGATAATTGTTTAATGATAGATCAATGTTTTCATCTAAAAATCATCAGAATAAGGAGAAATGTTAATAAAAAGAAGCAAAAGTTTACGACCTTGACATGACCTTGAAGTTGTAGATCTCGAATTGGTAGGCCTAAAACTCTTAATAATTTGAGCATTTCCTTCATTCATTTCGGACTATTTTGGTATAACATTACTTAAAGATTGTGTGAAAAGGACCCAATGATAGAGATTTATCGGGAGGGTGCATCGAATTACAATATATGTCATTTTTATCCCGTTTTTATGTAAGTACTCTATTATCGCCCACTTTATTTTCACTTTCACAATATTTTTTTTTCTTGAACCTAGTGAAGAAATATGAGGGACGCAAAAAAATTAGAAGGGGCTCAAATTTTTCAAATGGGTGATGTCCCTGGGACTCAGAAATTTAAATGGCTAGCCTGAACACTGATCTAACTTAGATCATCTAAGCCTAGACTAGTTAAATGAGGAGAGGGGGTGATTTGTCCCCATAGAAAGAGACTATGGAAAGGAGGTTTGGTCGCATAATCACGTCAGGGAGCAATACTTTTTCACGTTGCATGTTAATAATCAGAATTACTCTCACGTCCATGATCGTCATTACTATTTTATTCACGTTTCATGAAAATAAAAACTCATGAAAATATTACGTTCACGTTTCACGAATGTAAGATAAATAGATCTAAATACAGACTCTTTGATTTAGCCCTATATGTTGATCCGATCATCAAAATTAAAATAAAATAAAAAGGATTTTAGAAAAAAAAGCCCGATGGTAAATTTTCACCTCTCTTAATCCAATACTTGTCATGTTTTGTTATAAGTGTTTTGATTGGATCAAAAAGAAAAATTTGAAATAATTTTACCAATTACATTTGAGTTTACAAAATCCAAAATGAGATGGTGTTATAAAAGCGAACATAGGATAGAATGTATTTTCGCTGAACGAGGCCTTTTTATTACCATTGTCCCTACGTGTTATTTTGAAGCTACATTTGAAATAACTCCATGTAAAATATAATCGATTGGCAGTGACATGTTATTTCCAAGGCCCAGTCGAAAGAGTGCCTTTATTTGGGCAGTCCTTCCAGGATTGCCAAAGGTGAAATGGCCTGTCAAAGTCCTGGATCTAGACGAACAAGAGGAAATTTATTTGGTGTACTGCAAGGCAGACAATGCAGAGTAAGTTATTTTTTCTATATATTTGCAAATTTATTTTTTTAATTATGAAAATGTGGCATAATAAAAGTAGCAGTCTCACAGTGAACAAAAGCTCTCTTAGGCCCCTTTATAATAGACATAAGGTTTTGAGCTCAAACCTAAATTTGCATAAATCCCAATACGTTTTCTTGGGTCACTAGGGTGCACTATAAATAAAGTTCTTAAGTCAACCATGTTGAATATATTTGAAATCCTATAAAGTTAGCTCAAACTCAGTGAGGGCTCTAAAGTAAAACACAAAAGAAAACATTTAAGAACATACATGTAACAATGTATGAGTCTTTTTTTGTGGGATTCAATCCTGTTTTTGCCTAATTTTATACCAGTGTATTCACATTATGCTCAGCTTTTCAAATTCTTAATCATATATTAGATTTGAAAACTGTTTAATTCCTGTTTCAGGTTCACTGTTCAGTTTAAAAAGGCGGTTCCATTTCATTATGAATCTAAAGAAATTTATGAGGAATCGCTTTGTAAGTATTTTTCTCAGAGAATATTCTCAAACGATTCTGTTGTTTATTTTAGAGAATAAACTGATATCTTTATTTACTGTACTTTCATGAATGGATTTGAAAGTATGTGTCATGGGAAGTTATAATGAGTTGAAGATATATATTTCTTCCATAGAGTGAATGACCAGATCAACTTGATACTTTCACATATTATTTGTCATGTTCATAGCAGTCATATGGGGCACACCAATTAAAATGTAGAAAATGGCGTAATGTAGTTACGGTGACCTTGTTATGCATTTCAGTTGCTTTGAGACGCAAGGAGAAATTGAGAGAAGCTTTTGTAGAGGATTATCAATGGGTTTTTGAGGTAATCTTCATTTTTATTAAGTGAAGTAAATTAACATACATACAGAGACCTTTTAGAACAATGCTCATAAGCAAGAATATCTTGCTATTTAAAAAGTATCATGATTTTAAGGATCACTTTAATGTAGAGTTTATATTATAAAATAAGAGCTTATCAATCAAAAGTGATATTACTGGACCATCCTTAACTGTGAAATATACAATATAACAGTCTTTCTAAAAACTGTTATGCATCAACAGTATGGGCTTGCATCGATTGAAAAATATATACATGCACTCTTTCAGACAGTACATAATCTTACCAGAGCAAAAGGTAACATATATATTTAAGAGCAATGTTAGTGTTATTGTTGATTTGTTCTAAATTTAATATATTTTGTTGCAGAATTATTTAAGATGACTTGACACATGTATGGCTACTTGGAGGTTCAATTTAGGAATAAAATTGTTATTCTTATATCTGAATATGAGCTATTTTCAAGCTGATTTTTGTAAATGTCATGAAATTTTGTAGTACAGTTCAATTGTAGTTATTTATAGCATTTTGTAGACACTAACATATTAATACATTTTGACAAGAAGATTGACTCGTAATTATAAACAAGGAAATTAATAGGTATTTTTATCCTCCAAGTAGGACATATATGATATTTCCAACATAAGTATTGTCATTACTTTGTTACAAAAGTGTTTGTATACATGTTGAAGTGGGAAGACTCTAAAAGGAAAGTATCTCCGAATAGACATATATGTTGCTGTACTTGTAGTATTCTTGCAAATGTTTCGATCCATTTGAATGCAGCTTAAGGTGTACATACACATGAACCCCTTTCAGACTAAGACATATTTTTGCTTTTATGAGACATGATTTCATTTAAGACGAGAAGTATGGGCCCACCTATATTGTTTACATAGTTGTTTCTCCACATTATACTGGAATGGTCTCCTAGAATCAGCCCTAGCCATTCTTGTTAGTTAATATGAAATAAGTTTCGATTTTTATGAATGTAGAAAATAAAGTGGCTGCAATTCTTAGCTTTATTTTTAAATCTACATTTTGGAAACATTACTCATCCTTCATATGATGGGTTCATTTCAGGCAAGAATGGTGGGTTCAGTCTGGTAAAGTGTGCCCTTCAGCAATAAAGCTATATGATGAAGTCAGCATTTTGGACAAATGACTTGTCTGTCATAATGGGTTCATTTAAGGCAAGAATTATGGGTTCATTGCGGTAAACTTTGTCCTTCAGCAATAAAGCTTTATGATGAAGTCAGCATTTTGGACAAATAACTTGTCTGTCATAATGGGTTCATTTAAGGCAAGAATTATGGGTTCATTGCGGTAAATTTTGTCCTTCAGCAATAAAGCTATATGATGAAGTCAGCATTTTGGACGAATGACTTGTCTGTCATAATGGGTTCATTTAAGGCAAGAATTATGGGTTCAGTGTGGTAAAAATTTCCTTCAGCAACAAAGTTTTATGATAAAGTCAGCATTTGTAAAAATGACTTGTCTGTCCATAATGGGTTCATTTAGGGCAAGAATTACGGGTTCAACATGGTAAATTTGCTCCTTCAGCAACAAATCGTTACTTAAAGCACTATATCTTACTTCATCATGTTTTAACTCTTCATTTAAGGCAGTGAAGAGAAAATTTGAAATTGTATTTCCATATTTCAGATACGCCTGATGAACCTTCAAATACACTGCATACAACTGATCAGATTACAGAGATCACGTTAGGTATGTTGTGAATTGATTGTTATACTGCATCCTGTATTAGCAAGGTGCAAGGTGCCTCATATGGCCACTGACTGGTTCTCACAAATCAAGGACACATCTCTTAAATTTAAAACAATTGTAACAATAATAATGTTATTGTGAAATGTCCTCTTAACTTCAAACTGTTGTTCTCACAACCCTGGACATCAAAACACACATTTGATTATTAAAGATTACAACTTTCATTTAAGGCAAGAATTATGGGTTCAGTGTGGTAAAAATTTCCTTCAGCAACAAAGTTTTATGATAAAGTCAGCATTTGTAAAAATGACTTGTCTGTCCATAATGGGTTCATTTAGGGCAAGAATTACGGGTTCAACATGGTAAATTTGCTCCTTCAGCAACAAATCGTTACTTAAAGCACTATATCTTACTTCATCATGTTTTAACTCTTCATTTAAGGCAGTGAAGAGAAAATTTGAAATTGTATTTCCATATTTCAGATACGCCTGATGAACCTTCAAATACACTGCATACAACTGATCAGATTACAGAGATCACGTTAGGTATGTTGTGAATCGATTGTTATACTGCATCCTGTATTAGCAAGGTGCAAGGTGCCTCATACGGCCACTGACTGGTTCTCACAAATCAAGGACACATCTCTTAAATTTAAAACAATTGTAACAATAATAATGTTATTGTGAAATGTCCTCTTAACTTCAAACTGTTGTTCTCACAACCCTGGACATCAAAACACACATTTGATTATTAAAGATTACAACTTTCATTTAAGGCAAGAATTATGGGTTCAGTGTGGTAAAAATTTCCTTCAGCAACAAAGTTTTATGATAAAGTCAGCATTTGTAAAAATGACTTGTCTGTCCATAATGGGTTCATTTAGGGCAAGAATTACGGGTTCAACATGGTAAATTTGCTCCTTCAGCAACAAATCGTTACTTAAAGCACTATATCTTACTTTATCATGTTTTAACTCTTCATTTAAGGCAGTGAAGAGAAAATTTGAAATTGTATTTCCATATTTCAGATACGCCTGATGAACCTTCAAATACACTGCATACAACTGATCAGATTACAGAGATCACGTTAGGTATGTTGTGAATCGATTGTTATACTGCATCCTGTATTAGCAAGGTGCCTCATAAGGCCACTGACTGGTTCTCACAAATCAAGGACACATCTCTTAAATTTAAAACAATTGTAACAATAATAATGTTATTGTGAAATGTCCTCTTAACTTCAAACTGTTGTTCTCACAACCCTAGACATCAAAACACACATTTGATTATTAAAGATTACAACTTTGAACTGTTTTTGAATTAGCAAGGATATGAACTTGTTAAAGCCTGTCATTAGTATCTTTACCAAACTTAAGAGTCTGCACTTGTTCATAAAGCAAAACACTTATTTTAGATGGCTGCTCTGTACCAACAATACATGATACAGTAGAACGTCACCGCAAGAGCCTAGAAGATGTAGCTAATTCCAGAGTTACTTGTTGGCGGAACAAACTTTTTGAAACTATTAGAGGACGTGAGTTATTATTTCAGTCTATTTCTTCTCATATTTCTATAATATAAAATTTTCATGTAGATCAAAATATTTTGCCTCTTAAACCATTATACATATTTCAGTTCAATGGACTCCAGTGTTTTGAAGAAGGACCATATGCTCCCTGTCCTATTCAATGTCAAGTGCCTGAAAAATTTTGCTTTTTTACAGGAGCTAATCTGCAGCACAGAGCTGGAATCGGTTTGTCACTCTTTAGCGAAGACGATTGGTGTCAGATTCACAATGAGTTATCCAACATGGTGGCTGAAAAAATAGACAAATTTTATAAAGTAGGCATCAACTTAAGTTGAAATAAGTAATTTTTATGTCCTCACCACTCATTGTAGGAAACATATTGTTGTCACCCCTGTATGCATCATATATCACATAATATGACTTCATGATTTTTTGTGAGTGCATTATCTTAAGTTAGTGTCATATAGATAGAGTAGTAGGGTATTACTATTGACAAGAACTGCATAGATTTTGATCAAGAAAATATGTTGCCATATTAAATCTTTAAAATTGTAATTACCATATAAAATATAATTCAAGCATGGTTTTCACACTCTTATTTCAGCGGGAACAGTATGTCTCCTTAGTCCTTATCCCAGAGTTCGCCATTCACCATGCCATGTCTATGAAGGGCTTGAGTCACTCTGAGGCAGAACAGTATTTATTATCACAGGAGTTTTATGACGAATTCCCTTTGCCAGGTACTCCATCATCAGTTTAATTATTAAGTACACAAGATAATATACTTGGTTATTTTTTATCAAATTTTAGCACATAACAGATAGTGTAGTTCTGTTTTGACTTAAAGGAAGATGACATAGAGAACTGTTGTTAAATCTGATTGTTGGATGAAGATGAGGTCATCTTAAGGTTCCTTGCACAAAATAAAATTTTCATAGTCTTGAGCAGGTGTGCAATCATATTCAAGTACAAAAGGTAATGTGAATTCAACGTCAGTTAATTTAGGTAAACACAGGGTTGGCCCATGAGCATTTTGTTTATTACGTTTTTTATTATTACTTTTCAGGAGATGATGAAGATCTGGCTGTTCTGATGGACACGGCTGATTCAAAAGCTGCAGCGTACTCTACAGATGCTGATAAAGATGAACCTTCAAATACACTGCATACAACTGATCAGATTACAGAGATCACGTTAGGTATGTTGTGAATTGATTGTTATACTGCATCCTGTATGACCTTTGCCTGCTTCATCCTAAATTTTGCATTGTGCCTTATTGAAAGTCTTGAGAATAATGAACCAATTAAGGCTGCTTTGTATGGCCTAAATGTGAAATGTTTCTACTTGAACAACATAGCAATGAGGAAATCAGAATTTTAAGAAGATAACTAAGATTTCAATTACAATCAATGCTATCAACATTTTGGAAAGGCGACTGCAAATCTGTTCTAAGTTACTTAAAGCACTATCTTACTTCATCATGTTTTAACTCTTCATTTAAGGCAGTGAAGAGAAAATTTGAAATTGTATTTCCATATTTCAGAAACGCCTGATGAACCTTCAGATACACTGAATACAACTGATCAGATTGCAGAGATCACGTTAGGTATGTTGTGAATTGATTGTTATACTGCATCCTGTATGACCTTTGCCTGCTTCATTCTAAATTTTGCAGTGTGTCTTATTGAAAGTCTTGAGAATGGCAAGGCTGCTTTGTATGGCCTAAATGTGAAATGTTTCTACTTCAACAACATAGGAATGAGAAAATCAGCATTTAAAAAAACTTGTCCATCATTGTGGGATCATTTTTGACAAGGATTATGGGGCCAGAAAAGAAAATCTTCAAAATAAATGTTTCTTCTTCAACAACAAAAAATTAATGCTGTCAACATTTTGGAAAGGTTACTGCAAATCTGTTCTAAGTTACTTACTTAAAGCATGTTCTTACTTCATCATGTTTTAACTCTTCATTTAAGGCAGTGAAGAGAAAATTTGAAATTGTATTTCCATATTTCAGATACGCCTGATGAACCTTCAAATACACTGAATACAACTGATCAGATTACAGTGATCACGTTAGGTATGTTGTGAATTAATTGTTATACTGCATCCTGTATGACCTTTGCCTGCTTCATCCTAAATTTTGCATTGTGTCTTATTGAAAGTCTTGAGAATAATGAACCAATTAAGGCTGCTTTGTATGGCCTAAATGTGAAATGTTTCTACTTCAACAACATAGGAATGAGAAAATCAGCATTTAAAAAAACTTGTCCATCATTGTGGGATCATTTTTGACAAGGATTATGGGGCCAGAAAAGAAAATCTTCAAAATAAATGTTTCTTCTTCAACAACAAAAAAATAATGCTGTCAACATTTTGGAAAGGTTACTGCAAATCTGTTCTAAGCTACTTACTTAAAGCATGTTCTTACTTCAGCATGATTTAAGGTATGGGGACCCTAATGACCAATCTCCAACCTAAGAAAACAGGGAATTGAAAATCATCTTATTGAATATTCTTTCAATACATATATGTTTTAAGAGTATTATAAATCAGTCACTGAAAAAAACATAAATATAAAGACTTTATTGCTGAAATTCATATTATACCCTCAAAATATTTTTCTTAACTTTTTTCCATGGGAAAATTGACCAAAATAATGTTTTATTTTAAATTCCATGGTTCAGAATTTCAAATTTTTTACATTTGACTTTCTAAACACATATATGGTAAACTTATGCATTAGGGTGACTAGGGTCCCACTAGCTTAACTCTTCATATCAGGCAGTGAAGAGAAAATTTGAAATTGTATTTCCATATTTCAGATACGCCTGATGAACCTTCAAATACACTGAATACAACTGATCAGATTACAGAGATCACGTTAGGTATGTTGTGAATTGATTTTTACACTGCATGTTGTGAATTGATTTTTACACTGCATGTTGTATGAACTTTGCCTGCTTCATGCTAAATCTTGCACCATTTCTTATTGGAAGTCTTGGGAACAATGTACCAAGCAAAGCTGCCTTGTATGGGTACTATGCTCAGAGGCTATAAAATTGCAACAACAAAGTTGTGCTGCTAAGGGGCGGCTTCAAAATATCAATGTCTGATAGAAAACTAAATAAATTTAGTTTTGACCTTGAACCCCCCTCCCAAAAAAACTAAATACCTTAAATGTTGAAATCTCATACTGTACTCCGGGTAAATTTCGATGCTATAAAATTTTGCGATTTTTCAAAATTGCAATTTCGCGGCTATTTAATTTCGCAGATTTGAGTTGATGACATTTCGCGGATTGCACAAGTTGAATTTTTTCCGGTTACCATGAATCAATGCGTATCTGGCTATTTTAGCCCGTTCAGAATCCGAATAATGTTTGTATTTCCTACATTTAGGGCATTTATTTGAATATTCTTGAATGACTTTTTCAACTTCAATTTGTAGGATATCATTGTCGTCAACAGTTCTTGCCTTTGTTGGCCTAATAAGCCAATTCAAAATGTTGACATTTTAGCCTTTTTTGAATTAGCGCCCAACAACACTGGATGAAACGTTTTACACAGGGGTGAAATCCCCGGGGATTTAAAAGACAAATTTCGCGACGATAAATGTTCGCGATTTTACTACATTCGCGAACAAAGCGAAATTAAATCGCACGCGAACAATAGCCGGAGTACAGTAGTTTTTGGGGAGTTTTGCAGCGAACTAAATACTATTTTTAAGACACATTTGCTCATTTCAAAAACATGAAACAAAATCATTCTGACAAAATCTCCAAAAACGCCTAGATCTGCGATGTTTGCAGCCCAATTTGTTCCAGCTTTATTAATGGAGTAGGTAGCGACATGGGAAATATTGAAATGTTGAAAATTGTCGGATAGGAAACTAAAAAGTGCATCAATTCCCAAACTAAATTTATTTAGTTTTATATCCGACATTGATATTTTGATACCGCCCCTAAGTATGTATTTAACATAAAATAAAAGGAGGAGGTGCGATACTAAGTTGGACAAAAATTCCTATTCTGAGCGCTTTGCTCGTATTTTATTGACAAAAAAGCTGTTTCATATTGTGGAGCATATTAGATAGAAGAAGGTTATTGGTTATAATTCCCCAAAATATTTCACATATTGCCAGATTAACTCCAGATTAACACCATACCAATATGATTTTACACCTACTCTGCAACTTACAACCATAAATGAGGTTATAAAATAGGAAACTCAGCAGGTTTGACAGACAGTAATCATATGATTACCCCATACAAATAAAAAAGTTATCAAGAGATATACCATGCTTTGTATAGCACTTGATTGATTTTGTTACCCTAATATAGTGATATTCATTGCTCTAGAAATATTTTTGAATCCAGCACTTTGGTAAGCTTCTTTGAACAAAGTTCTTTATAAACCTTTAGGGAGGGAGAATCCGCACAAAATGGAAATTCACATGCAGAAACAGTCCTCAAATATGCCAGTCTGACGCATGTTTATTAGTATTTTACATTTACTATTTTCGCAAACAGTAATTTCTCTCAAATAAAGTAGGCAATTGTTCTCTCATTCCTGTTATATGCTGTTGACATGTAGATAGTTTTTGGTCATACTTAAATATAGTGGTATTTATATTTTGATTTAGTAAAATATATGATCAAGTTAGTTCTCCAGACTTTCAGATGTTAACTTTTTCCGAATCAATGCCCTGACCCATATCCTTACTTCTTTCTCATTTTATTCCTGACTTCAAAATTAATGTTGAGGCAAGATATATTGTCCCCAAAGACTTGATTATTTGACACCATGTTTAAAAGTCATTATCTAATCTCTAAATAGGGACTTTTAGCATCATATTTCTTCTATCTCAGTAAATAAAACAGGATCAAGAAGGACGTTTTATTGCTGTTCCAACTCTTTTATTTTTGTGCATGGATAAATATGGTAAACTCACAGCGTTACATCAGTTAATAAGTGCAAGATAACAGAACCATATAAAGGAGCTGGGTAACATTATGACCATATATGCACTGTTGGTGCTGTACAGGGCTGTTTTGTAAGACCCCTATTTTTAGCATAGGTTTTTTTATGAACTATTTTGGATTTGTATATTCTCTATATTAATAGAGAATTCTTGTTTTTGACCCCAAAGACACAGTCCATGTGGTAAGGCAGAAAAGTCAGAATACATTGTATGTGTGTTTTAACAAATATCCTATGCATATGCTACTTAATATTATAGTGAATTACCTTTAATATCTTGGTTTGAAATAAAAGATTGATATACAGTTTATTTCAAAATTAAATCCAAAACCCTGCCGGATGCAACTCAAATATGTTTTTGAATTCCTACAAAAATTGGATTTTTGTTTTCCCCAAAGCTCAAACTGACATGTGTTACTAATTGCTTAATTACTGAGGCATTTTTATTAGTATTGCACTAAAATTCATTTCATAATGAAACAAAGATATTACCAGGACATGCACAAATGTTAAACTTGATTTCACTGCAATTTCTTTTTTTTGGGTATGGGTATAGGGTCCAAGTCCTTAAGAAATTTACTCTAGCTCTTAGCAGGAATGAGTTTCTGCTGATTTTGCCTTACTTTATCTTCAGACAAACTGCCACCAGAGGCAATTGTACATGTGCTGCACTACTTGAGCATCGAAGAACTCCTAAAGATTTCTACAGTGTGTTCATGCTTTCATAACATCATTTTTAGTACATCAAAACTGTGGGAAGATTTCAGCTTCATAGGCCCATTAGAATTAAGTGAAAAAAGATTTGATATCATAGCTCAACATTCATACAGTTTCATAGCATTTCGCATTGGAAATGCTCGGAGTGATATTGAGACAGTTGATATTGACTTCCATCTAACAAAAACTCTTCAGATGAGCAACAAACTTCAATGGCTTGAGCTAGATGGTTGCAATATGTCAACTCTTAGCTTTCTGAGATATCTGCCAAGACTAGAGATTCTCAGCTTATCTCGGTGTGAAAACATAACTGATGATGATCTATCAGCCATAAAATATGTGCCAAAACTGGAGCAGTTATACATTTCACATATGGGATTATCAGCAAGCCAAGTACTGTTCAATTTAACTAAACACAGACTGCATAACCTATATGCCCTTGACTGCCAGGGAGTGGAATTCATATTTACTGAAGCTCTTACGATGATGGTCATACAGAAGCACCTGATCTTCTTTGGCTTGAGCCTTTTTGAAACATTTACTCCGCACACATTCGATAATACGCTGGGAAAATGGTATGATACTTTGTGATATTCATGAATGAAAGCATATGACATTCCTCTCAGTTTTATGCAATGCAGTTCATCAAACTTTTTTAGTATTTATATTAATGCTTATTAATGCAATTTTTCAATTTTGGATGGTGTGAAAAAGGTTATCAATTCAACACTGAACTGTGCAAGAAAATACACTTAGACCCTTTCATTACCATGTCCCTTGAATTAATTGTAATTTCTTTCCAAAAAGCTGAATAATAGTTACATATATCTTTCATATTTTCTATTGACTATCTCAGAAATTATGATAATATGAGGTATCAGAAATATCAAAACATACTATAGCTTGTGGTGAATTCCATGAAATACAACGCTTAGAGTGAATAAACTTTATCAAATCGCTTATAATGAATTAGATAATGGGTTAGTTGAGATCGAAATAATGGCAATTAAGTGGGAATTTCAGTTTTCATGTGCTTTCCTGTGCTCATGGACAAATTATGCGCAAAAGAGTTGATTATTGTATATGTCTCAAAATTGCATAAAATTGAGGGGACAGATGTTAACATATGTAAATAATATTTCAGGTTTCCTGATACTGAGTTTAGGATCTTCTAGACGAAGAAAAGCAAATAAAGAAAAGACAAAGGAAGTCAAGTGTAGATAAAGACAAAACAATTAGAACCATTACAAGATCATGAGTAGAAAGAGTGACTCAAGATAAATATGATGCATATCTCTTACGTTACTTAAAGCTGTATATAATACAGCATTCATCATTAGTTATGTATAAACAGTCATGTACGATAACATGATTAAAGCTTATTGGTCATCAAGTTAGATAGTTTACTTGAAAAACATTTTTGATGTGGACCAAATTTTTTGTTATTTTACTTACAAGGTACAGTGTACTGATTATCACTATCAGCAGTTAAATACAATTTCAGTTCCATTTTCTACAGAGTTGATGACTAAATAATTAAGTGGTAAATTGTAAAGGTAAAGTTACAGTGAATAGAGAATTTTCGTTATAAGTTTTTTAAAAACTTATACGTATACTTATACTTATAAACCCAATAAACAAGGTGTTTCATAATTTCCTAATTCGTCGGGAAATATCTCCTAGGACGGTAATAAATAGGGCCAATGGCATACCATCCGTACCCCCTTGATGTAAAGCATGTTTAGTTGTGTCATATGTGTTTTCTAGAATCAAATAGGCTAATATAGCACACGGGTTTTACAGATTTATCTACTCTCAAATATATTTTTTGTAGATGATCGTTTTGAATCATCTTGTAGAAATACCGAAGGGAAAATTAGTTCAGCTAATGAATGAGTCGAGCTGTTTGATTGGATACTATGCCTATTCAGCCGATTAATTTTAATAAGCCATTCTGGTCAGTAGGTCCACACATATACTATGCGGAGATCCAACTCTGTAAGTTTGTAATCTGCGTATAAAGGCCCTTTTATACGTAAAAACTTAAAAATTGACCTTATAATTTCATGAGAACTTTGAAATGATCGACTCGTTCGTGTAGTGATTCACTTTAAAGGGTCTTGTTTATCGTACACTACAAGGACCCGTCAACTAGCGTTTAGTTTATCGTGTTCATAATTGACACTAGCAAAGGACATTGTATTCGCGGTCTCTAGTTGATGATGGAGCTTGACTATACCGGGAATAGTTATCCCCCACTTGGTACAGATTATGAAAATCAATATGAATTGATTTTAGTTCGACAAGACCCTTTAAACTATAAGTATACATATAAGTTTTTGAAACAACTTATAACGAAAATTCTCTAATGATATGGAAGAATCTTACTAAAACGCATTTTGTAGAAAAAGAAAGGTAATTGAGCTTGTTTTGTTTGCATTATATATCACATGTCTTAATATAAAGGTATTGTCTTAGCATATCAGCTAACTCTCAAACATACAATAAATAGATAAAAAGTTATCCGAGCTCAAACCTTAAATCACAATTTTCTCAAAACACGAGTTGCGGAACTTAGAACCTTATTATACTAATGGTGCGAATATTCTTCATAATAAGTCAGAATGCTGCTAGGGATATATGGAACAACCTAAACATCCTTCAAGATTTACCCATAACAAGAGCTTGAAATGTTTGTGCTTTTCAGTATAGCAAACTACATTTCTTGATAACTGTTAATATAATACAAAATCATGTGATTACAGTCACTCACACCTGACTGATGTAAACTGCTGTGGTACAACTAGATAGATTTCTAATGTATTTTTGTTATCTGGTCAGTTATTTAGAGAATGTTAATTATAGGCCAAGCTTTAGCTTTCGCCTATATTGCTTTTAGCTTGCTTCCAGTTATATCTCATAATTAGTTTTGACATTGGTCAGAATAGGGGATAAATGAAAAAGTATCTTGGTCAAGGTCAAAAGTGAAGCTCAGATTCCTTTTTTCAAATATCTTGTCCTTGGAATCTCTGAACTCAGTCAGCTAACTCTAGCCAGCACTAATCCCTTAGCGCTAAGACCTTTAAGAAGAGTTGTCAATTTTGTTACCAGATATTACAGTTGAAACTGAGCTCAGTTGTCATCTTTTACTCCATCTTACCTAAAAATGACTTTTTAACTTCCTTTGTTCAACTATATTCTATTTTGCTTGGCTGTAAAAACTGCTTGCAGTTTTTTAAGTTCGAATTATTCTTCTTTTTTTTCAGCCAAAATGGAATGCAGTATATGCAGCAAGGTCATGAGTAGCAAAATATTTAAGAAGCACATGCGATTTCATGCGCAGTTATCAAGACTATCAACATCCAGAAACACAGTTCAAACTGTAAAGCAACAAAATGAAAAGCTGTGTGACTTAAAGAAAACCAAACAGGCAAAGTCAAAATGGCATATAGGAAATTTTATACAGAGAAAGCAGAAAGAAAGAGAAAGAAAGAGAAAAATTAAACGATGTAGTAAAAGAGCAGAAATAAAAGATGTCAAAAGACAAAAGATGGATAAAGATGAATATCGAAATTCTGATACAGATCCACAGGATGATGTTGACTTTGACTCTGGTAAAATAGGGGAAGATAAACATGTAGATCGTAGTTCTGAAAGAAACGCAAATCAAGGTCATATTTCTGAAGATGAAGGCATTCACAGTTCTAGTGATGATATCGAACAGAAGAAAGCAGGGAGAGTTCAAATGTTTTCAGATGATGACACTGATACTGACATTGACACATTGAAGATACCCACTGATTTTTATGTTGAAGAAAGCTCATCAGAAGAAGAATTTGATGATGAAGAAATAGTAAAGGATAGGCTAAAGCCAGGAATATTTGTATTAAAAGTAGTAAAAAGCCATACATCAAAACTCGGTAAATTCAAAAGGAAAGACAGAGTTTACAATGCTAAGCATTATTGTGATTACTGTAAAAAGCTTGTCCTGAAATGGGCAAGACATATTAACACACACAAAGATTTAAAAGAAGTCAAAGAGATCCTAGAAACAGTGTCAAGAAAAGATCGGAAGAGAAAGTTTGACAGGGTTCGACGTTACCACGATCACAAGCATAACTTGAAAGTTCTCAAAGCGGGAAAGGGACTTTTGATTCTTGGAAGAAGAGTCAATGATTTGGATGTAGCGCAGTATGGACCATGCCCAAATTGCTTTGAATGGTTAAAAAAGAGGAACTTAATTCATCATATCAAGCAGTGTCCAGGCTCCAGAGGTGAAAATGATCACGAGTCTATCGGTTCCCTAGTGACCCAGTGCGATATTTTAATGGGAAACATAAAAGAAGAAGCTTCAGCTCCCCTTCTGAGTGAAGTACTGCCTTCAATGCTTCTTGATGAAACCGGTCGTGTAGCCAGACAAGACCCCTTGATCCTACTGACAGGATCTCAGTGGTATCAGAAGAATGAAGGTAACACCCTAAGGAGAGCCAACATGACTTCCTCTTTTATGAGGCTAAATGCAAAACTCTTGATAAACATGAGAGAAGTCAAGCAATTAGAGCCAGAGGGTTCATTTTCTGATTATCTGAGGCCCCAACATTTTGATGTGGTAGTGGAAGGGGTGTTGAGGTCTTCTCAATGGGATGATGCTGTTGAGGAGTTTGTCGCACCATCAAACTCGATAAAGCTAGGCCATGCAATAAAGATGCTGTTGGCTGCTAAAAAAGGAGTTGCCATTAGACAGAGAAACGAAAAGATCAAGTCAGAATGTGTAGATTTCTTGGATTTAATGAGATATGAGTGGAATATCAGAGTAACAAAACTAGCCAAGAGAATACTTAACGAGAGAAAATTCAATGAAAAGAAAGAACTACCATTACCAGACGATGTAAAGAAGCTGACGTTATATTTAGACAACCAGTTGAGTGAATTAGATGTCACACCAGATAATTACAGGCGTGCAGTACAACTTACTTTGGCAAAGCTCATTGTGTACAATAAGAGAAGGTCGGGTGAAGTACAGGCAATAACGTAGGTTTATTTCAACATACATGGTCGAGTTATTAATTTCAAATTGTTAATGTTGCTGGCTGGTCTCGGTATTAATTTTATCCCTCTGATTCTGATAGTAATATAAAATGTTAGTATGGTGATCTGCTAACTGGAACCTGAGAAACAGATATCTGAAAACATTAGAATCCTGATTTTCCAAAAATTGAAAAGTATGAGGTTTTTAGGTTCAAATTGTTGAGATCGGGTAAAGAAAAACAGGAAAAATTGGAGCTCCCCTGGGCAGTATGGTCTTCTCCCAATGTTCAGTGTTTTATTATTTTGTTTAAAGAAACTACAGGCTTAGAATCTTGGACTTGCTTTAGAAATCATCCTTCACAGAGAAAATTTAGATAAAAAGTCAGGTTGAACTGGAAGAAGCAATCTGGAGATGTAATAACAAAAATGAAAGCTGAAAATTGGGAGATGGCCAAAGCAAACAGAACATGCCCAAAAAAGATTCCACATTGACTCTTATGTCACTCTTGTAGATTGAAGAGTTATGGCAAGAGAACCACAGGGACCAGTGAACTAGAACAGACCTTGACTGGAAAATTAACCAACTTGGAACAGCATCTTTTGAAGACCCAAGATGTGATGGAGGTCCGTGGAAAGGTAAATACTTCATTGTTTATTATTCCTAGTTAACTCCATGAAGTATAATAGATGTCCAGGCCCAGGATGTTATACACGTACATGAGTATAAATGCGGGGCCATTCGTTTGTACCAATGATAGTTATGGGGCCAAAATTGGCCCCACAACGGGATCTTATTTTGTCACATATAATTCACCTTTCTATAAATTCTTACGCAATGCTATCTTTAGCCTCATTCAAACCAATGTGATATTTGCGGTAAAGGATCTCTTAGTCTTCATGAAAAAGGAAGTACGGATCCTATTCCTATTGACATTTGGGTAAGCATTAAAAAATGAATTTGACTTTGGATTAGGTTGAGTTGGATTCATGTAAAAGCTGGATTTTATCAGGTATTTACAAATAATGAAATTTACCTAGCTTGGAATTTAATTGTACCTATGTGGTAAAACCTGTATTTATTGAATATTTAGTACCAAAAAATTCTTCACTACAGGCAGGTGTTTGTTGAATAATGACTAGAGAATTCCTCTAAATGTTGGAACTATCAGCATTGTTAGAGATGTTCTCTTATGTAGGATTTACTGTATACATGTGTATAAATCATGATAGAATAAATTACTCACCAAGAATAGAACA